TAAAGACATCCCCCAATGGCAGGCCTCCAGACCCGCCATTAGAGCACCTCTCTTCAACTCCATTACTCTCTCTATCTACCGAGCAGAAAGATCCGTCCCCCACAGTTGCTCATGGAACCCCCCCCCACCCACTAGCCTACCTCCTCCAATCCAATCTGGTCAGTCGCATCACCCCAACAGGATGCCATGGCATCTCCTCTCCAAAGGTCTCTCATCCTTGGGTCAGTCTATTTAGACAATCTTCTTCTATTCATACCTGGAACTTTGATGCCGAACATATTGCCAAGATTGGCAAAATCCAAAAATCCTCTCGTTACGATTCGGTACTTGATCCAGCTGAGTTGCAGCATACGAGAGATAACTAGAAAGAACGCCTCCCGTAAAGGTAATCAACTTTACGTTGCTGGCCCTTTGAAAGCTACAATCTGGTCTCCAAATCATAGACCTAGCGAGGGGCTACGTATGTTTCAGATGCCAATCAGAGAAAGATAGGATGAACAAGGCCCGTGATTCCTTAGAAGTCAGACACTCAACCTTTTCTCTTGCCGTGAAAACTTTCAACCCCTAAAAGATAATGATCGTCGCACCAACTTCTTGAGTTCGTTAGAATCCTCTTATAGATCGTAGCTTGTATTGACGATTCACTCAAGATGGATGTGATCTATTATAGACAAAGCTATAAATATGATGTGGTAGACAAAACTATAAATATGATGTTCGATGTAATACTTATATATATCAATGCCTTTCGATTTTATCTATTATTTACACAGCATATAGAGGAGGATTTATAGTAAACTTGATAATCTCATTTTGGTTGACTTTTATAATCATTTTAGGCTTACACTCATAAGTTATGTGTAGTCATTATATATAGGTAAAATTGTCCGGTAATAGACCATTTAAATAATTATTTTGAGGGTTTTCTAGCTTCGTAGAATAATATATAGTGTTAATCAGCACAACATCCATGAGCTACTTAGGTGGTACATAGCTGGATATATCTTTAAGATAGTATCTAGGGCTAGTTTGCTATTTTATTTTGTAGTACTATCATATAGGAACTTGTGGAGACTTTTGATTATGGCGGACCATCTTGAACCATTTGTTATGTGATCGTTCTTTGTGAAATGTATATTTATAATTTATATATCTTATCACATGCTTGCTGAAATGGTTATTTGTGAATATCGAGTTAAACACTTTCTTTAATCTATCTTATCTTTTGTAGGTCCTTAAGAGACCATAAAAGGTTTTAAGAATATTAACCCTTTGTAGATGGACATGCAGGAGTGCTAAGTAAATCAATTAAATCTATAACATATGATACCAGAGCGGGACAAGCACACTTAGAAATCTTACATACAAACATGGAGAACTTAACAGGGCTGCATTGAGAGCAATCAACATAAGCGAGCCATTTAAGAGAAATGAGCATTGAGATATAGGGAACTGAGTGGCTCAAAGGAGCGGACATCCAATATTGGTATTCAAATGAATGACCGACTCCTTTAAGCATAACGAGAACAAACAAAATGGGAGGAATGTATAGTGCATAAAAGTTGAGATTAATATCCTCCATCGTATGTACAAGTATACAATACACCAGTATATCCTGTTATCTCGATGTCTCTCTCAAGTAACCTATGACCGAGATTATTTAGGATCTATGTTTAAAGGTGAATCGATATCATTATCGTGATCTCATTACAATCCAATTCCTATTACATAGATTCATGGACATCATAATATATTCATACAATAAAAAATATAAAATGATAAAATATCAAATAATATGATAAACAAAAAAATATGATTACACATCATTACTGCTTGTAGGACACCTGAGACCAACAACTTCTTCTTGGTCCAAGATCTTATTGATCAAAATCATTAAAACCTAAATTTTCTTTACACTCTATCAAATGCGCCTTTTGAAGCTCACATGTTCCAAAAAGATAAAATCGTACAGGTACACCCATCGCCCAAAGCGGACAATTCCTCACGAGCCTACGAGCTACACTAATGATCGATCGACCAAATGATCTCTTATCAAATTGGCACTAAGGACCCAACGCCTACACCTTGGCCGAGTAAACTCGCTCTCGAGTTGTGCACCTCGATTATAAGCCCTTGGTTGAGAAGTATAAAAACCAAGGGCTCATAAGTCTATCGGATCTCTCTTATCCTTAAAGATACTTTTTGGAGCTCATATGTTTCGAAATGATAAAATTGTATGAGTACGCTCAAAGTGGATAATTTTTCACGAGTCTATGGATCGCACTAATGATCGATCGACCAAATGATCGCTTATCGATGACCCACCTCATTCTTTTTTTCTCTTTTGAAAGACGCTATCACCCCCGCTTACCTCTGTTCTGAGAGGGGGGACTCATTCCCCATTCTCTGTATTCACTCTTCACTTAATTTAAGCAGTTTCTTCCTTTAAATAAAAAAAAACACATCAGTTAGATAAATATTATGGGCATATAAAGTATGTTTCTTTTGCACCACTCCGTACCAAATTCTTGAGATTCCTAATATGTTTATATAACAACTAATCAGGTTTTATATCATTCAAGGAAAAGTCTTTTTGAACTTGAAATTTTTTTTTCCTTCAAATAACTTTTTCTTAAAGCAATCTGTTTTTACCAAAAAATTCAAAAGTATTTATATATCATAACAATACCAATGTCATCTCATTGTGAACCATGGAAATTGGATTCCATGTTCCATGGAGGAGACATTTAAATAGCAATCCCCTTTTCCATCATGTCTCCACCTTTTCATGTTTTCTTGTTCAAGAAGCTATTTTACTTTTCCTGTACCTTTAGATTGACTTTTTCTGTCATGAACAAGTCAAAGTCCTTTCCCCCTTGAGATGAAGAATGACCGAGTATTCATGATTGCTAGGTAGATTATGGCAAGGATTTAGAATAGTGAACTTAATCATATTGATATCTTTTAAATTGAAATTAATTTAATTATATTTAAATTAATTAATTAAATTAGAAAACACTCCCGAATCATAACTATTTAGAGCCTTCAAAATCAGATAATTTGCAAATCAATTTGATTTTTTAATTCGATTTGAATACCCCTAAAATTTATAGGTGAGTGATCTTAAGTTATATCTATTCTGATGTCGAGTTATATCTATTATTAACCTAATACACGAGAGGTGAACGGAGAATTGAATGAATTCATAAAGAATTGAAGGTTAACGTACTCTCATTGATTTAGTCTTCAATATCATGAAATAAGCTCAATAAATTTGATCGGAGAGAGAGAGAGAGAGAGATCTTACGCTGCAGGTGGCGGAAACGGGCATTGTGGCATTCACGTTCCCACCGGTTCAAACTGCAAAGGCGAGCTGCGATGTGACCTCCACTTTGAGGCATGGATCCGAGGCTTGCAGAACATCGTTTTGGGTTTCAATGGCGCCGCCGGTGTGGGCGTGGCCACATCCTTCCCCCCTGTCACGACGACGACTATGGCTACGTGATGCCACGGACTTCTTTGTCGGCGATTGTTGCATGAAGTGGACACGGGCACTGTTGTACTCACGTTCCCACCGGTTCAAACTGCAAAGGCGAGCTCCGATGTGACCTCCACTTCGAGGCATGGACCCAAGGCTTGCAGAACATCGTTTTGGGTTTCAATGGCGTCGCCGGTGTGGACATGGCCACATCCTTCCCCCTTGTCACAACGACTACTCTGGCTACGTGATGCCACGGACTTCTTTGTCGGGGATTGTTGCATGAAGTGCTTCTTGACGTGATCTGATCTGATGACCACAGTGATGACTGAGTTCTTCATGGCCGAGGGGACAGGCGACAAGGACAAGTGGAATCCATGAGCTCATGGCAGGTGTTTGATAGGTGCTGCCACTGATTACACAGTAAAGATACTTCTCATGCTTGCATTGTTACTGTGTGCAAAGGAAATAACCAACTTTGTGGTTCGTCTACTACTAAACTTAACGGGAACAAGAGGAGGAAGAAGAATCACAATAATTAATACAGGATTCTGACATGAAGAGGTTTAAGCCGAAGACCTTCCTTCTTACTGCTCAGCAGTAGTCCTAGAGGTTTGAGTCTCGAGTAACAGAAGTAGTGAGCCATGAATGCTACCATGAGTGTTGAGCTACTTAAACTACGTAGGGTGAAGGTGATGTGCATCATGGTTCATTGATTACTGAGCATTACTTGTTTGGACCAAATAAATGCATCTATATTTTATGGATCGATGGTTCTAGTCGTGTCTATTGCATGAGATAGAAAACGACGTCATGACGCCGAATGAACTCTGGAAGCCATGTTTATATTTCTAAGGTCCTCTAGAAATTACATGGAAGGTAGGAACAACAATGTCCTCTCACAATGCTGGAGACCAGCTTCCAAATTACATCCAAAACAATTACTCTCTCTCTCTCTCTCTTAATCCCTATCTATGGGTTTAGGAAAGTGATAACATGTAGCACGTGCTTGGCACGTGGGAGGAGTGGGACCCACGGACGCACTGGGAAGAACCATTCACCTTCCGATCACGTACGCGCGAGTCGAGACAGGTGGCCGCTCTCGCTGCTCTTTCATTGGTCAAATTTCACAGGGCCCCGCATTTCCCCATCCTTCACACTCGGGTAAGAACTGACTCCCGTTCACCCCCTGACGTCCGCAATCTTGATTGGTTCCCTTTATTGGGACCCACACGTCCCGAAGCGTTCACGAGACAAATGCCATGTTCTTTTAGAGAGAATTGCGTTTCACACGGAAATATTGTACACACAAATGTACCCACTTGATCGTTACTGTAGGAATTTGCTGCCACTGAGTTGGGTTTCGTTTCTATTGGTGTCTGAGCCACCGCCCGGTTCACGATAAACACAACCACATGAAGATGACAACGGAGATAACAGAAAGCAGGGAGGGGAGTCGTTGCAGACCGCACATGTGTCGAGTTCCCCACATCCCGAGTCCGCTCACGGCGCAGGTGAAGTCGCTCATCTCTCAACGAAGACGAAAGATCACTATTAAGTGGCATTTTCGGTGATCGGAAGCCACCGTCTCTCTCCCCTTTCATCTTCTTTTTGTTTCCTTCGATCTCTCAATGCAGTGATCGGAATCCACCGTCTCTCTCCCTTTTTATCTTCTTTTTGTTTCCTTCGATCTCTCAAATGGAATCCGTTCTTTTACCCGGCCGCACTCAAGCGATAAAGCATCCCTGTTCGTCCTTCTCTTCTCTTAGTTGTCGAAACAATGTTCGATTTCTCGCGTCGATGCCCTCCTCCACCCGCCGCCTCCGAGTCTTACGAAACGAGATGGGGTAACGTTCTTCTGTTTGGTAGGAAAAGTTTGGCAACCACTAATAGGACCGCAACGGCGTAGTAGCCCCATACGATGGGTCATGTTCATCCATATTTAGTCCTTAAAGTAGGCATATTTAGGTACGATTTGGCAACTGTTTGCTAACATTGTTCGTCATGCCTCTTTGGTCTTTCTGGTCCGCCCCTGTGCGATCCATCCACTACCTTAGTGCTTAGAAGTGTCGGAATCAATCATCCCTGATCCTCTGATCATTCGTTGCCTTCTTTAATTCTTAGAAAGATGACTTTGGCATCCGGGCTGGTTTGAGCGATCAACTCTCTAGCTATTTTTGACGTCATTATTTGTGAATTGAGGATTAAAACATGAGAAATTGTTGTAAATCTGTAATAGTCAGAAACTTGAGGATTATTTGCAAGTCAGCTGTGAATAATGTGAAGCAATGGGTATCATTAGTTTGATCATTTTTAGCTGCCAATATTTATAATTTGTTCAATTGTTAAGTAATTTGTGGAGATATCTCACGGTCTCTTATGGCTATGAGAGATAAAAAAGGGTGCATTTCGCAAGACCATTGAGAAACTTTTGCATATTGACTTTTTTATTTGATGTAAAAAGGTGATCATCCAAAACGCTAAGATTTGTGGTATCAGCTGACTCAGAATCTTCATCCACCATTACTGGAATTGGCTGCTCTAGGATGATCTGGCTAATTTGTGCCTTTCCCACTTGACATTCAGCTGGTCGTGATGGTTTGATCGCTCAGTTTGATTCTGGATGCTTCTAATCAATCCCAATGAACTTGGCTGATTTCAGCCAGTCTTGCTCAATTTACCTATCCTATCTGACTTTTTAATGTTGTTAATTTTAAAAATTCTTCATGATGTGATTTCCCTAATATCATATTTCCAATCATGAATTTTGTGGTTGATGCAGAAATTCATTTCTTCTATCAATAGAAAATTGATAGAAAGAATATTTAAGACATGACCTTATTGAACTTGATCAAATCTAACTTTTTCTTATGCTTTTTAAAGTGTAAGAATATTTTAAATGAGTTATTTTATCCTTCTGAATTTTGAAAACCATATAGCTTTCTCAGCATAGTGACAGAAATTCATTTTGTTTATGGTCCATGCTGCACCTTGGCTTGATTTTGCATTAATTATTTTGCAACTCCTTTCAGAGTTGCTTTTGTTTATGTAGTGGTTAGTTCATTTCTATCTGCCATATTTTCTATTCGACAGAACTCATGATATTTTCTTGATTTTCCTTGGTGGCCATGATGCTGGAACATGTTGAAAGAAATATTGATTGTAATGTATTCTGGCAAACTTTTTGCAGATTGAGATTTAGTAAAGCTAAAATTGCTTCAGGGTGGCAAAGGATAATCAGCAAGGCATGTCTTGATTCTTTGTTGCTTTCTTCACTTGTTGATTGAGATTTTCTTCTCTTTTTCCAAAACTATGACTATTGTTATCATTGGATTAGGTCAGAGAAAGATATATGGTTAAGCCTGGAAATGTTTTTGGCCATAGCGTTGAAGAATCTTTGGTAGAGGTATGCTGAACTTTTTGGTACATTGCTAGCAGACTTTCTTTGTTAATTTGGATGAATAATGTAGTAATAATCACAAGCATGTTGACACCCATTGTAGCAGGCAATTCAAAACTAAAGCTTGTATTATGGTAAGTTTCAGGCTATCAGCGTTCCTTTCTTGAGATATCAAGATGTGAATGTGCTGATAATATGAAGACATGAATCAGCATTGTTGCATTGTCTAATATTAACTAAGCATCCTATTCCTAAAGTACAAATCTCCTGTTCATATTGACAAGCTCTTCCTTCTTTTCCCTTTATGCCAAATAAACACAAATCGAGGCATAAGGTGAGGCATGCACCTCAATTAGAGAGGCATGTTTAATGCTAGAATTCATGAAAAAATATTTTGATCAAAGTAATTTATATTTATTTAACATTTAAAAACATTTAATAGACAATCAGCTTCTGGAAACAAATAAGTAAAGAATGCCGTTTGACAACGTTTTCTATATTGAGTGATACAAACTGATTGAACATGAGATTGATGTACAGATTCCAGATCAAGGCTTACTGTTTGAATCTTAAAATATAGGCTTTTGCATATTTTGGTTGAAATGATCATGTTCCTACTGACTCACCTGCCGGTGTTAACGATCAGTTTGTCTTATATGTGAACAATGTTTAAGGACCAGTTTGTCTATTTATAAAATTTACTGGTTTGATTTGTGCAAAGACTCTTTATGGTTTTGGATAATGGTAGGATTGGTCTGGTGAGCCTTGAACTCAAGCCTAGGCAGTGTAGAGGAACATCTGAGTGTCCAGTGTTCCCTTCAACCTTCAGCATAGTAGAGTAGAGAAATGGAAGAACAGTGTTCTTTACTTCCCCTTTCTTTTTTCTTCTGTTGGCATAATCTGTTCATATATCAAAGGTAATAACCTATGTTATCACTCTGACCAAGGACCAATGCAACACAGGTAACAAGTAAATACTCTTTGCAGGGTTGATGAATGGGAAAGAGGGAAATAATTGAGTAATCACAATCGCTAAACAGAAGTAGAAGATAAACAAACATACCAAATCATGGATTACTGTTTTGGGTACCTGGCCTATGCAAGTCCAGTCCATTCTGGCATACCTTGTGAGAGGGGGAGAAGGCAGTGGGGAAGAAGAGTATGAGATGACGGAGGTAATGGAGAGGAGGGGAGACGATAGAGGATGTAGAAGAGAAGGAGAGTGCCGATCAATAGGGTTAGCAAGTGATGTGATAGCGAGGGGCAGCAGACATGGGCAGTGGCAGACATGCGCGGTGGCAGACGTGTGCAATAGTGAATGACACTACAGAGGGGTGCAGAGTCTGTCGAGCTGTATGGGACTAGGCATGAGGTATTTGTGTTTTTTATTTCTAGTATTAAAAAATAAAGAAGAACTAGACCAGGCTTACTAGACAGTAACCACTGTTTACTTACTAGACTGCCTAGTCTAGTCCAGTCTATGTATGACCTGATAAGATGCTAGAGCGCTATGTACCCTCCAATATGTACCGGTCCAGATGAAATGTCAAACAATGATCCAAATAAGCAATAATTGTCAGTTTGGTGGTTGGAAGAAAAGAGAAAATCAAAAGAAAAAGAGAGAAAAAGAAGGTTAGAAGAACAAGTACACAAAAGTAAAGAAGGGGACAAGGATATCCAGAAAAATGAAAAAAATTTGTAGTGTGGAATCATTTGTGATCAGTTTGTCTTTCTAAATGGAATTGATTCAGGACCATTTTAATGTATTCATCATTTGAATAAAGTTATTAGTTTGGGGGTCATTTTGTAAATGTCTTAAGCCATCACTTGGTTTACATACCGTATTTTTCTACATTTATTACTTGAAAGTTGTATTATTCTACAAAGATAGAGAACTATCAATTAGATATATTGTCAAAAAGCCACACTAATTGCTTAGACAAACCTCGAAATTTATCTTCAAGGAAGAAAATGAATAGTTGATTTATGTGGATGTCATTGTATTGTTTTTCATATTTTTGTATTTTCATTTTCCTTTTGTACTAGGGGTCTACAACAGGGTGAAATGTATTGTAATTGCAAACCATAAAGTGAATGAGTGTATTTTGTTACACTAAATGAGTGTATTTTGTTACACTAAATGAGTATATTTAGTTACACTAAATGTCAGATGATGGTTATTTATTATCCATGTGTGAGATGTACAGAGGTGCTTCATTTTTATCCTTGAGGGTGTTTTTGAGCTAGAGTGAGTTTGATAGTTATTTTTTTCAATTACCTTTTTCTACTAGTATCTTTTCATTCCTCTAATCTCAAATAAATTTTTTTTGTGCTTGTCCTCAATTTGTCTGAATCAGATTTGTTATTGGAACTTTTGGTTTAGCTATGATATTCTACATCAAGGTTGATTCAAATTTCAATTATTTGAATTTTGAATGAATACCAATGCAAGAAATCATACGACTTAAGACCATTTTAATATATATATGTATATATATAAATACATGTATGTATATATATACATACATGTATGTATATATATACATACATATATATATATATATATACATATATACATATATATATATACATATATATATATATATACATATATATATATATACATATTTCAATTGCATAAATTTTGTTGGTCTAGAGGGTATTTTGTAAATGTTATAAGTTGCCACTTGGCAGCATCTCCAAAATTCACTTTTATTTCTTAGTGAAGGAGAAAAAATGAGGTCAGTGAAGAAAAAAGATAAAAAAGTCAGAATTCAGTTTGATTGAAGATTCCATCTTTATAGAAAAGTTTTAGCTTTCTAGAAGATTATTTGCCAAGGCAAACATGGAAATTTATCTCCACCAAAGAAAGAAAATGATAAACCATTGATTTATCTAGATGTAATTATATTTTTCTTATTTTTGTATTTTTTTTTCTTATTGTACAAGTTTATATGAAAAGGGAAGTCGATCATAATTGAAGAATAAAGAATGAATGAGTGGAAATATATTCAATCACAATGTGAGGTCATATTTTGAGTCTTGATGGTACAAAGCCATCTTGCACATGTGAAATGTATGGAGGATTGAGATCTTCACCCCGGAGAGTTTCCCCTTGAGATGGAGTGATTTGTTAGTTATGTTCTTTATCATCTTTTCCTATTATTATCTCCCCCACTTTTTTCTTTTCCTTTATTATTGAACGAAAGCTCTCTGCTCATCGTGAACTTGTCTTACATCAGGAATCCTTCCAAAATGGTCGAACTGTCCTTTTGAATGGGACACTTTTAAAACAAAGAGCATTTGTGTCAAATCAGTTGATTAGAATAAAGATGGATCTGACAAGAACTTTGTACATGTAACAATATAAATATCTATGCCTTTCATGCTCGAGTGTTCTAAAATGGTAGATGGTGTAACTCATCTCATTGAACTCATGGACCCTTGCTTGAGGTGATGCACAAAACGAGTCTCAGTATGCTTCGTGTCCTGTTATGCTTTTGATGAAAATGAAAACTAAAGTCCAGTGCATATTGATGTTAATACTAGCTACAAATTGTAAAAGATTAGATGCACTAAGCAACTAAGCACATGTCAATTAACTAATCTTTCTCATTTCACTAAGGAGAATCCTTTGTTATTTTCTCCACATGTTGAGGACTTCTATGAAAATACGAATTCCAATTTCAATGCATAAATACTGCAATGTTTTGTGCATTGTTTTGTATAGACTGAACCTCTTGATTACTACTATCATAATTTATATCCAAAATATATTTCAATATCAATCTGCAACATGACACTTACAAGTCAAGTTCTTTTGCGCAAACCACTTGTTATGGCTATTTCAAACATTTTAATATGATTCATATCTAAATACTTTTGAATCTATCTGAAAGTAAAAAAGAACATATGCGTGGTTCCTTAGATGTTTCTAGAAGGGTAAAGTACTGAACCATGTTGGTTGAAACATGGGAAGTATTGGCTTGGACATGTTTTGGCACAATTTATATACCTCAAAATAGCTTGGTTCACCGCAACCCAAATTGTGCTGACTGACATGACAGTCCTTTTGGTGGAACACTCTTTTCTAGGTGGTAACAGTTTGCTGCCTCTGTGTTTGTACTAGAAGTTTATAACATTAGCAAAAGTAATACTTCTCGGTTGCCTTAGATCAAGCTGAGCACAACATTGAACGTTATTTTTGATGCATTAAGTGACAATGACTTGCTAAATGTTTTTCTTGTGATTACTAACATTGTTTGTAATTCCACAATAGGAGAAGGTTACACCAATGTTGGGGACTGATGTTCCATTGAAATATTCTCCTGGCATGGCCTTTCCGCTTGGAGCTTCAGAGGCTGAAAATGGAATTAACTTTGCTATATTTTCTCGACATGCTTCATGTGTCACACTTTGCTTGTCAAATTTTGGGAGGTAAAAAATACAACTCCTTTTGTTAAAAAAAATTCATGTTGTTTGTTCAATCTGCACAGTGGTTACAAAAAACTGTCTTCAGGCAAAAGTTACCGTATGTAGGTTTTGCATGAACATGATATTTATAGTTGCAAGTCACATGAGATATATGTACATTTAAAGATTATCAACTTTCTTTAATGTTCTAGCAATTTCTGTTTGCTGAGCTTTGCTTCCTTTTTCTTAGAACTTTTGCATACACTAAAATGTTCACTCCTGTAAAACCATTTAAAAAGCACATGAAATATATGTACATTATTTGCTAGAGTAGATCATGTGGAATTAGCTTTGCTATATTTTCTCAACGTGATTTGTTTGCCACACTTTGCTTGTCAATTTCTGGGTGGGAAACACTACAATTTCTTTTGTTAACAAAAGTTTTTGTTGTTTGATTTATTTTCATTTAATTCAGTGGTTAAAAAAAATCATCGTCATGCAAAAGTTGCTGTATGTAGGTTTTACATAGATCTAATATTTATAGTTGTAAGCGACATGAGACATATATACTTTAAAAATTGTCAACTTGCTTTAATGTTGTACCAATTTCTGTTTGCTGAGCTTTGCTTCCTTTTTCTTAGAACTTTAGTACTAGTACACTAAAATGTTCACTCCTAAAACCATTTCAAAATCTATTCTTCACATGCCACTCTGTTTTTGTTGTTTTCCTGCAGCCTGATTTGTTGGCAAGCATTACAATTGCTGTAACAATGCAATAACCCTTTCTAGCCTTGATATCTGTGGGTTAATTGCTTCTGTGTGATATGATGAAGATTTAGTTTTGTTGATTTTCTTATGATAGAAACTGCTGGATGTTGAAAGGCACACAATTGTACTCGCTGCAATGGTGATGGCAGACTCTAAAGAGAAACCGTAGTTTACAATCTTGTAGTTTACCATCTTGTCGACCAGTAGCCATGCTAAGCAGAAAAGGATAGCGCTTTGATTTGCTTGTGGAATATTCTACATATTTTTACTGTTGGACCATAAAAGCATAATTAATTTTCTTGGTGATGGATAACTTGGATGGCTTTCACTACTGAGTGGTAAGACCTTTAGAGACGCTAATCTTTTTCACAGCTAGGTTAGGAAGCATCGATAAGTTAAGGTTATTACGACTCATACGGTGCATCTTTGCTTGCCTTTAGAAATGATCTTGTTGGGGAAATTTTAGATACTCTGAAATATTCATAATCTCCTGTAGTATAATCTTCTCTTGGAAGCTCCCTCAAAATGTTGAGGCCATTGGTTTTGGTTGGATGTAGATGATGTAGATATGCGGTAGCAACACTGGCACATAACCAGTCTAGCATTTTGAACTTCTAAACATATTTATGTTTGCTACATTCCAAAGTTAAACTAGCCTTTTGGAGCATCCTGCTGAAGTGTACATGGAGAGATAAATCACATTTGGTCCACATCTTGAAGAAGATACATGAGCCTTCTAGTGTTATTCAGAGTTTTGTGTGCTGCAAGAGAAATGACTAAAGTGTCACTAAAAGTTTTTAGTATATTACCATAATGTTCTCAATTTCTCATGCTAAAGCCATAAATTTAAGTGATGTACATTAAAACTGTCATTCCATATCATCTGAAACTTCTCATTTTGAAGCAGGAAGGAATTTCAAAATGGGGCTGTATCTGTGACCCTATGGGGTTTAGTTATGTAATAAAAGACTCAGCCTTTAAGCAACTGAACCTAATTTGTCTGGTTCGTGTGCTCAAATTAAACTGATGTTTTAGGTTCTCCAATTGGCTTGTGTAAAAATTTGTGCTATGTTGTCCTTACCACTGACTGATAGTTGTATAGAAAGTTCTCACAAGAGAGAAAATGCAACAAGAAAAATCTGATGTTTCCAACTATCTGAGACCAGCTGCATATATTATCTCGACCAATAAACCCTCTGAAGGCAGTATCTTTTGATAATTTACATACCTAAGATATCTGTGTCTTCCTATGAGTGTATTACAATCTCTCTTCTTAATTAATTCATCTAACCTGAATGATATTGTATGTCTTTTTTTGATATGTCCAAGTCAACAATTACCATCAGATGGCCAATATGGTTCGACACAAGGTTCGTTGTACCACAGTATACTGCTCGGTATGGTCGGTACATACCATTTTGACAGGGGACCAGCACAGATGGTACATCGGTATGCCTCCATATACTATGTGTTAGTACACTCAATATGGCTCGGTACAGTTCGGTACTTATCATACCGACTGCTGGTCGGTACACTAGTATAGACCGATAAGACGAACCATTGTTCGACATACTGTCACACCAACTATTTCAGTGGGAAAAACAGAGTGTGAGACATGAAGAAAAAGGAAGAACCCGACCATCGATAGAGAACGTTGATAGAACCCTGGATTGGGACTCCTGTTTTTGTGAATCTGGAGATGCCTTAGGTTTTCCTCATTTGTCCAATGCAATTAAAGGCCTAATGGCCTGCATAGAAAATCTAAAGCTAGTTTGGACCTTTCCCTTAAACTAGTTGGCTAGTTCAATGATTGAAACAGATTGACTTGAAAAAAATAAAAAAAACTTAGGCACTGTACAATTGTACATACAAGGTGATAACCATACATCAGTCCTTGGTTCAGATTGTCTTTTTTTTTTTTGGTAAGTCTTGGTTCAGATTGTCTTACATGACTTTTCTTAATTTTACTATAGGATCTACCCATAATTTTCAGGAATGTTATTATTTCTTATTTTGCAAATCTTGTTATTATGAAATTTCTTTCATAGTATTTTCCTTTTTGATTTTTTTCACCTTTTTTCATATGTGCCTTTTCAACTTCCTAGCATTTCACTTATATAGCATGATTGTCATTCCAGATACTTAATGTAAGTTTCCCTGACTCATTACATGGATAACTATTGTGGGTGGTCTGAAAAGTGTCAATCTGGCTCATGCGTTATAAAAGCTGGTTGTGGAAAACTGTTCTATATATGCTTGACACATGCCTCAGCTTGTTAGATATTTGAACACCTGAAAAATACATGTGTTTAGGGATGGAGTTATCTCTGATGTCTATTATCACTGATGGTTATATTTTTGGCTGAAGCTTTCTATAATTTTTAGATAAATGCTGAATCTAGCAGTGCTTGCTTGATGGAAAGATTCTGCAAAAGTTGTTTAGATAGCCTTAATCCTTCATTACCTCATCAGTTTCCCAGCTTAAATCTATTGAATTTCTTGTGGTTGACTTTAGGATCCATGCATTATTTTCCTATGATTACATTTTTTAAGTTACTTTCCAGTAGCCAATTACAAATTCATTTTCTTCAAAGATTGTGGCTTCTGTATTGTTTGAAAAGCTTATAATAACTTTTGTCCTAACTTTTTGGTCCTGATGTCAGTTTGTTCAATCTTGTGCCATCAGGGAAAAGAGTCAGGAAATATGTGATGGGATGGTTGAGATTGCACTGGATCCTGAGAAGAATAAAACTGGGGATGTGTGGCACATTTGTGTTGAGGTTAGTACTGAAGTTCTGTAAATTGGTAGTTTGGGTTTGCAGATTTATTAATTTTCTTTATAAATTATAGTCTTGCTGTGTTGTCATGGCAAATGTCTCCATCATGAGGCAAATTGCTGAAAGATAGGTTAAGGTTGCAACTGTTGTAAACGTGTTCTTTCTGCATGTAATTTCCTATAGATCTATATCCACAGGCAACAGCATTACAGAGTTTGTTTTCCTGTTTCATCACTCATCTTCTTGATAGCATCTTAATTATGGAGCATGAGATGACTCAGAATAATTGTAGTTATCGTTTCAGTACTGATGACACCATTGTCTGTCCATGAACTCCCTACAATTTATTTTGGTTGGGATTTAGGTTGTTCACAATGTCCCAACCATGAACTTATTTTCCATGTTTAGTCACATGATGCTACATTATGAGGAACTAAATTCTGGAAGTACCATATAGGCATATACTATATAGTATGTATACCCAATCAATTCTGTTCACAATGTTTTAGTTAGTTCAACATTACCAGACTCAATTTTGACTTATACTGACCAAACTTTCCCTTAATTTTGAACTGTTTTTGCTGCCTTTAATATGTCATGCACTTCGGCTTAATTTGTTCTGCATATATCATATATATTTTAATAGTTTATTTTTTGTTTGTTTCTTAGGGTTTATCAAGATCTGGCATTCTTTATGGATACCGAATTGATGGCCCTCAGAAAAGGGAACAAGGGCATGGTTTTGACAACAGCATTGTTCTTCTTGACCCCTATGCAAAACTTGTTTCTGGTAGGAAATGGTTTGGGGATGTTGCAAATAAGATGTCCAAGTTTCTTGGAACTTATGACTTTGAAAGCATGCCTTTTGACTGGGGTCCTGATTACAAGCTGCCTAATATACCTGAGGTAAAACTAATAAGCAGAATCTATTCAAAGAGATGTGTTTTCTCATGCAACTATTCATCATTTTATGGTTTTGTTACTTATTCTGCAGACAGATCTTGTGATATACGAAATGAATGTTCGGGCATTTACAGCTGATGAATCAAGTGAATTGGATCCAGAAGTTCGTGGCAGCTATCTTGGTGTTATTGAAAAAGTAAATTCTGCTGTGTTTTCTTAATATTAAGAAATTATATGATTTACAATGGATAAATTAGTAGGTTATATTGATTATGCTTTTTTTTCCTCAAATTGGTTAGACTTAACCTTGTAGATATTCACTTCAAGGATTGAAATATCATATCGTACCGGAGTTTCGACCTTCTCTCGGTACGGTATGGTATTGTATACCGAGCAATATAACGTTCGGTATATATATATATATATATATATATATATATATATATATATATATATATATATATAATTAAAAAAAAATTTTTGGCGATGTTGCCTCTCTCTCTTTATATATATAATCTTTTATTTATATATATAAATTTTTTAAAAAAGTGTGATGTCGCCTATATATATATATATATATATATATATATATATATATGTATGTATGTATCGGTACGTATCGCCCAGTAGCGAGTGGTCCGTGTACCGGTACGTACCGCCCATACCGGGCGGTATCATTTGAAACTGTATACGTTGATTCACCTTATCATTTTATTTTGTTTTACTAAACTGCATTTTGGTTTTCAAAGCCATACTTATTATTTAGCAATTATAGTTAGTATTGTATCATTGTATCTAGGGTCATGATTTCAGGCCATAAAGAAATCTTTTGTATGCGTAGATGACATTATTCAAGGTTGAGGATTGCAGTATCGGGTACTGGACCCATGTTGGTCCATGATCAGATTGGTAAGGATTCAGTCTGTACTGACTGACTGACACAGTATACAAGCATATAGCATGGTTCCAAGGGGGGAGGAAGAGTAGAGAGAAGTACTGGGTGGAAGCAACACTAATTAGGGAGAAGGGGAGGGGCTGGGAACTTAGGGCACGGATGGAGTATGGGTGTGAGAGAGAGCTTATAATGAACCATGGCCGAAACCAAGCCAGTAAGCTTGGCTATAACCCAGTTGAACTTGTACCGGTAGGATTCTGGCAAGGGCCCCATGCTTCCTAAGTTAACATAAATATGATAAGAGTAATGGCACATATTTGGCATATTGCAAACCTCCATGCTGGCATTTATTGGCAATTAGCCAGGACAATGATTTCAAATAGACAAATACCATTCTATATTTATTTTTTTCTATGTTTTCTTTGGTTTATACCTGAAGGTATATGTGAGTATACTGCTCACTGCTCAGTACATTAATCTGGGGGATTACTGGAATTGGTACCTCAGTGACATTTAAAATCTTGGTTGGAACCAAGATTTTTCGCTCGGATGGCACTGAGGTTTCACAAGATGTACACAAGATGGCTAGTGTCAGCAAAAATATTTAGTAAAACTGCACTTCATGTTCCAGAAAATTGTATTCCACTTAGATGGTCATTATTTTCCAGCATGGCATGTGTAGCATCAAAAAATAGTAGCCGAAGTTTTTAAATTGTTTACTTGCACTGTTGTAGAATATTTTTTTCTTGAGGTCCTTTATTATTTTACTGTTTATACTTCGGCATTCTTATCTCTTAACACCAGCCACCAAGCTAGAGAGTAATTCTTTGATAAAATTTCTTTGTAGATCCCACATTTATTGGAACTTGGAATCAATGCTGTGGAGCTCTTGCCAGTTTTTGAGTTTGATGAACTCGAATTTCAGAGGTACCCAAATCCCAGAGATCACATGGTAAAGTTTATATCCAGTTTGTGATTTAAGAATAGTTTGTTGTAGCAGCTACTTGAATCTATATCTCCTTTTTCCTCAATGATATAGTAGTGTTCAAACTGTTGATATCTTTTTTCAAGATTAACACCTGGGGCTACTCCACCTTAAACTTTTTTGCCCCCATGAGCCGATATGCTAGTGCTGGTGGTGGACCATTGGTTGCTTCTCATGAGTTCAAACAGATGGTGAAAGCTTTGCACAATGCTGGCATTGAGGTGTTATAGAGTATCGTTTTCATTCAATTCCGAGACAATTTTTATGTCTCTATCTCTATTTAATTTCAACAGTAGTTTTTATTAGAATTTTTGATATTACAGGTCATTTTGGATGTTGTCTATAACCATACTAATGAAGCTAATGATCGTCATCCTTATACTTCTTCCTTTCGTGGTGTTGACAATAAGGTGATCATATAGGAAATTTCGATGTACACTAACACATTGGCATTTTACAATTAAAATGGATTACTTGTAAGCTATTATTATGCTTCATTTAATTGAAAGATCATGCAATCCAAATCCAATTTTCTCTGGATAGTGCATATGGATGTTATGTAAAATGATATAACTGCAGTTTGTGCTTCTACAGGACTGGAAGAGCTTGGTCTGACCGTCTGATTGACTAGCTGTGAGTTAGCAGTAGTGTGATTGAGAATGTTGGATTTGGGATGCACTGAGCATCATAAATAAATATTTGAAAATGAAGAAAAACATTTAAGATCTAAATGTGCATCAAGCTTGTAAAAGAAAAAAAAATATGATGCTTTAAATTTCTTGATCTGTTAATTGCTTTTGAAGGATTTATTTCTCTCTTAATTTTAACTTGTTCATGCATTTTCTTGTTTCAAAATTAGCACAAAGTTCTAAGGCCTCAAAAGAAAAAGCATCATTATTTGGATGGACAATTAGTATGGAGAGTGGTTGCACTTCTCTAGTAATTTGTTTTTTTGTCTTGTCTTGGAAAACTTATTTTCCTGTGTTATTAATAAATAAAGGAGTCAAATGCTTTTGTTTTGCATGTAGATAAAACAGGCAGTATCTCTTATATTTCTCGATACCTATGGAAATGATAGGTCCCATTATTTGCGTTAGAAGGTTGATGTTGTTATTATTAACACTGAAGTGTTAACAACATGCAGAAGAAGGTTTCGTGTTATGAGTCTTATGACCAATTTCAGTTGGGTTGGGATAAGATGGGTTGGGGTTAGCTGGTTCAAGTTTGGAACTCTTTATAAGTATTGACTTGCTAATTTGGCTAAATCAATCATTGGTATTGACTTGCTGATCCAACCTACTGGAAAAAACTGAAAATCAGTCAATTCAATAGAAGCCTTCTTATGACTTTTAGAACTCAAAATGAGAACTGCAAATTAGATGACCATCGAAACTATACCAGAAATGGTTCAAAATTCCAAAAAGTTACTGACTTTACTAAATTTACCAAACTCAAAAAATTAAACTGTTTGAGAGAAGCCAAAATTGAAATGGAAACTGAAACTAAAATCCTTCGAATACTGAGTACATTGAAAGCATGTAGTAAGTACTAATTAGTAATTACCATCATATATGTGCATGCAAAACACAAATTTGCAATGCAAATGTTCACATCTATGATTTTGTTCAACAACTTGTTGGTTGTTTGTTAAATAATATATTAGTCCTTATCTTTTCTTCTGCTTTTAATTTTTATTTTATGCTTACAGGTTTATTACATGTTGGATCCCGATAATGGTGCTAAGTACTTGAATTTTTCAGGCTGTGGTAAATCCTTTAACTAAACACTTTTACTCTCCGGGATGCCTAGAATATAAGGCTGATATTTGTTCTTAGTTTTTCTTTAAAATTGGATGTCTTCTCAAATCATACCCTTTTGCAAAATGCTTTGTTTGGATGCCTCTGGACCAAGTATTGTAGTTTTGATTGCACATGTCAGCAGGGGTTCAAACATATGGCGCCATAATTTTATTGGCATGAACCATGCTATAACATCCAATTTTTGGTTTGTCTGCTTGCATAGGTCAATGCAGATTAGTATGCGATAGAAATCCCATTCTAGATAGTTATTGATGTGGCCTCATTCCGTGATATTACAATCCCTGCTGTAGACAATACAATGTGGTGATTGGCTAGATACTATTGAATGTCAGCTAGTTTATCCCTTGCTATGAGCCATGTTGGTGAACATTGAACTAGACCACGCCAGTTGCATTGATTTGAGCTGTCTTTCATGTCCTTTTAAATAACATGGTGTCTTCTTCCCTTTTTAATTGTAGTTCTTATAGTATCCACTGTAGAGCTTCCCAGAGTATCCACTGTATATCTTGAATGATCAAGTAAGCTTGTAGCAGGAAATATTTAGTCTTTGAAGTTCAGTTATTTGGAATGTGAAGGTGAATGGTACTACTATCATTTTCTTTTGCAAAAGAATCAGATACACAGAAATTTCATTTTCATGATGAGATTCTGCTTGCATGTTTGTAATGAATGAATGATAATGCTGTAATAAAAATGGTCCATATTATGGTAATATGGACCCATTTTTATACCATAATTATCCTTAAAATATTCAATTGCATGTAGGATATTTGGAAATCTGACTATGTTTATTTTTCAGGCAACATTTTTGCTTCATTAATTTCGTTTGAAGTTTCAGTTAGTTTCTGATGATAGAGTTCCTTAAATAATATTCAAAATTGTTAATTTAATAGAAGTAAATCCAAGCCATTTCCACTTTGTAGAGATATTAACTCGACTTCGGAGTGCCCTGTCCTTCCCTTGTATTCTCATCATTTGGACATAGGATCCTGGAGTGGGGAAATGAAGACAGTAGCTAAGATCCTTTGTATTGCAGCATTCGGTTGAGTTTTGGTTCTCCAGTAGTTGACTCCAAAAGCTAAAAGCTATTAGTTAGATTATATTGTTAGAGACAAGGAAACAAGAGCCAATATTGTCATCATAACTGAACTTCCATCGGTCTTGCTACTAATACATTTTTATTCCTCTTGTGACTTCATATACCCATAAGTAGTCATGGTACAGTCACATCTGAAATTCCTAGTATGCCAAAATAGCAGGCATGTTCTTTGTGAACTTCCATAGAGAAAGATCAAATGACACTATACAAATATGGCCCTTGTTCATTTATTTCTGAGACTGTTTTTGCTTTAAATTTTTTCAAATGCATCTATATCCATTGATTTTTTTATCTTTTGGTTCTATAATTTACTTTTCTTTTTGACCTGTTTATTCAATTTAAAATTTTACTTAATTTTTTTGGTCTTATCCAGGAAATACATTAAACTGCAATCACCCTGTCGTCATGGAACTTATTCTTGACAGTTTAAGACATTGGTGAGTTCTAACATTGATTTTAATTTAGACCTGCATATTTATATTGGTTTGAAGTCCTAAATTATGTGCTTCATTGGTGGCTCCTTTCTTGTACGTGGCATTCCAAATATTATCCTTTATGTTAGATAAGCATTGTGTCTAATGCTTGATATTTCTCAAAATTCTCAGTAGTTCTTATATGGAATAACTTCTTATAGTTGTTGCTTCTGTCGTACTGACCGTCACTACTTTTAATTATTTGAAATTTCTTCGTCCATGTTTTTCTCTTCTTTCATTTCCATATAACCACTTGCTTTTTTATTTCATTTTCTTTTGTTTATCTCTTTTTTATGTTATCTCAAATTCAAAGGACCTTTTGGCAAGAAATATTGATGGATTTCAATGGTATTTAAATATTATCTTTGTAGAGGAACTGACAGATGATCTTTTCAGGGTATTGCTTGCAAACTTCTTGATAATGTTTTAATTTTAACCTTTTCATGTACATGTAGAACCAGTTTGCTGTTGATGCAAGTTACTTCTATCATATTGTTTTTAGATCATATATCACTGGAGTCATGATGCATTCTTTACTTCTTGTTTCATATTTCCTCCCTTGAGTTACATGAATCTACAACAATAGCATGGCTGAAAGTCCTGAATGTGTTTGCTACATGTATTTTTTATATGAATCAGATAATCCATATCATCTGTTGATGAGATGCACTGTGACTGTTGTCCTTATTATTTGGCTCATCTTCTCTAAACCTGCCTTTTCTATAACACTTATTACAGGATTGATTTCTTCCTTATTCTTGGTGCACTCTGCAGTCCTTTTTTAGACATGTCATTGGTGTCATGATAACCTTTTCTTTGTCTCGCATTTTTTTTTTAATCTCATGACTTGTTTTAGGTAATAACCTTTCGTTTTCAGCATCAGCATAGATACACTAAGTTATCTGTATGATATTCTTAAATGATGAACATTGTCCTATAACGCGTATTCAGTTTCTGGCTAATACTATAGAACTTCCTTTTTATAGGTATTCAGTGATCAGATAACATACCAAATAACTTTATTCATTCATGTGTTCTATTCTATTTATACATGGTTTACCCTTAAGTTTTCCCCCTTTGTTGAATTTTCCATCCAAAGGTAGTATAAGCGGATGTTTTTTAGTACTCTTGACCAAGGTATGCAATTTCGAATAATACCGTCCGGTACGGGCAGTACGTACCGGTCCGTCAGCTTACTTTACCGAGCGGAACGAAATAAAAAAAAAATAATATATATATATATATATATATATATATATATATATATATACAAGGTCTATCATACCGAAGCGTACCGGGCGGTACGTATCGGTCCGACAGGTTACCGGTATGCGGACCGCCCGGTACCGCTACAGTGCTATACTGTAGCACTGCTACAGTATGAAAAATAAAAAATTATTCGGTACACCGGTACCGTACCATACCGAGCCTAGGTCGAAATGCTGGTACAGTACGGTACAGCGAACCTTGTATATATATATATATAAACGAGGCGATGTTACCCCGCGTGGGGGAAGGAAAAAGCGACATCGCCTTTTATAAAAATATTATATATATATATATATATAAACGAGACGACACGACGTCACCCCGCGTGGGAGAAGGAAAAGGCGATGTTGCCGAGGCGATGCGACGTCACCTTTATATATATATATATATATATATATATATATATATATATATATTGAGCGGTATACTGAACAGTATACCGATCGGTATACAATTTTGTACCGTACCGAGCGAACGTCGAAACTTCGGTACGGTACGAAATTGCATACCTTGCTCTTGACTGCAATTTGTTAATTTCTTTTTTCTTGATATGGTTCCATTCATATATTTAGTATTATCCCTGTTTGAACAGAAGCTTTGGATCCTTAGGATACTTGCTCTTGCCATAGTTTCAATTTGAGTTAAATCTTTGAACTAGAATCCTGTTGCTAGCAAATAATATATGCTATAATATTTAGTTTTCCTATTTTTTAATGATTGGTCCAAATACTTCTGTTTGATTGGTGGTTGATAGCTTTCTTTTTCTGGATTTATGACATTTACCACCTGGAGTTCTTCCTTGTTGATCTTGCATCTGCTCTAGGCTGCTTATATTTTCATTCTCTTGGAGTGGCTATACATTTCTCTTCTTTCTTATCAAAGTGAAGTGTTAAAAACATTCTCTAGATGTACATATCCTCATCGTGTTCCATATTCTGGAGTGGTCTCACTCTCACATATCCAAATTCAAGAAGAATTATGTTAGTACTTATTGCTTGGTACATGTAGAATCTCTGTGTACTGAAAACCTCAATGATTTCTTCTCCCAGTGGTGACTTTAATTGTCATGTGATCTAAATCAAGGTTCGCAATACCGTACTGTACCGGTGTTTCGACCTGGGCTCAGTACCGGTACGGTACGATGTACCGAGCGGTATACCCAGGTGCACCGAGCACTGTACTGCTACTATAACAGTGCACTGCATCAGTAAACTGTACTGTTACAGTGCTACAGTGCACTGCTACAGCGGACCGGTAGTGGGCGGTCCGCGTACCGTTGGCCTGTCGGACCGGTACGTACCGCCCATACCGGGCGGTACGATTCAGTATGGCAGACCTTGATCTAAATTCTAAAGTATTGTAGTCAAATTTGTCGCTAAGAGTCACAATGGTTACATCCATGCAGTGGTGCATGGTCTGAACTCTGAATAAGGGATTAAAATTTCAGTCTGATATCAGTTCAACAACCAGTCAGACCAATATATACTGCTATATTGGGTGGTATACTAACCCATATCATCTTGTGTAAGTGGGAAAAAATAATGAAAAACTGTATACCAATTGTTTATGACCTATATGATCCTATGCAGGTCCTTGGTTGGAATGGTAAATATGGGTCCTTACAGACCATACAACTGAAGCTTTAATCCTTCGTCTAAGGATTATTTTATAAAGTCTGATTCATGACCACCTGAGCTTCATCAACATCATATCTATTTTGTTTTAAGGCAAGACAGTTAATGTTTATTTTATGAAATTCTGGGGGTATGTTTCCAACTAATTTCAAGTTTGTCAAAATGTTTATCTTATTATTTCTAACTTTGTGCATAATGGAGAAAAATAACCTCCACTTGGAGAATATCACAGTTAAATACTTCTATGCCACCTCCATAAGTATTTGAGCTTGGAACTACTATAAAGAAAGAGAGCATTCGGTTAACATCTAATTCATCAAAAAATTAATGTAGTGATGTGAATGCAAATTTAAGTTCCTTGCTTTTATCTGCAAACTGAATATCTTTTACCTTCATAGTTAGCATTTTAGATGCATATTGCTTCTGTTGTTGATAAAATTTGTAATAAATTTCAAGAATTTGTATCCATATAGTATTGGAAATTCTATGTTTAGTTGTCTTAGCTGTTTCTCTGACTGATGTTCATATGTGATGGTCCTGTATAAGGGTTAACGAGTACCATGTCGATGGATTCCGGTTTGACCTTGCAAGTATTCTTTGCCGAGGGACCGATGGTTCTCCTCTTAATTCACCTCCATTAGCCAAGGTTCTTTTCGTCCTTATTATTCATGATTTTCTTTTGAGCTAAGTGAATATATCTTTTTTTTGTCATATAATATGTTATTACTGGTTTTATCTATTTTGGAAGATTGCTGAGAATTTATATATGTTGATTGTTGGCAATTAACGTGTGCTAATCTCCTTTGTTAAAAGCTAACTATTGATGTTCAATGAGTTGAACTTTTGAATTCAATCTACATATTATTGTTTTCCTAATTCTTCAGTAGACAATTACTGTAACACCTAGCTCAGTAGATACATTGTCCATACTCTATAACAAGGTTTGTCGTACTACAGTGTATCGCTCGGTATGGTCGGTATGTACCAATCCGACAGGGGACCAATACAAGTGGTATATTGATATGCCCCCATGTACCATGTATTAATATGCTCGGTATGGCTTGATACATACCATACAGATAGCTAGTTGGTATATCGGTACGGATCGGTAAGATGAACCATGCTCTACAATACCAGGATATGGTGCTTGAAATAGTATCACTGAGGTTGTTATGACAGGTTTTGTCCAATACTTTACAGGCTGTCACCTCATGACCAAATTTTTGTGTTAGTTGTCAACAAGATTTTGTGCAAAAATTAAAGATATTAACTACAAACAAGGTTTGCGATTTCGGTACTGGACCATTGGTGATCGCTAATTGACTAGTTTGGGTCTGGTTTGAACTGGTGTAATGACACATAATCTGTCAATGGTACCAAAAGGTGGGAGGAAGAGAAAAAGAAGAGGACGAGGAGGAGAAAGAGAGGAGGTGTTACAGAAGATGAGGAGGCAGTAGAGAGAAGAGTAAGAGGAGATGATGACAAAGGAGAAGAGGAGGCAACAACCTCCAAGGTGGAGGATGAGGAGGAGAGGGATGCTCCCAGCCAGTGGCATACAACGTAGGTAACAAGAGACAGGCACATGGTTTTATTTTTAAGGTTAAAGACGAGTAATTGGAACCGGCTTACTAGGTTATAAGCCCGGTTCACTAGGTGTGAGCTCCATTCACAGAACTTATCGGACAGTGGTCCCTGTTCACAGGGCCCTCAGGGCAGTGAGTTCTACACCTCATGTGGACCGCCCGAAATTGGATGATCTGTTTTTGCCAGTTCATGCCTGGACCAGTGAATATCAGTTGGGTTGTACTGGTCAGGTCAAAATTGTATTCCTTGACTGCAGGTTCTATGTTCAGAGCTGTTGTAATTGAGTTAAAAGTAGTGGCATGCCAGCACTTAAACATTAGAGTTTTTTGATAAAAGATTGAGGTTGTAACTTGTAAATACTGTAAGACAGACCTTCAGCATGGTTCTATTTGTAATCTCTAAAGGGTTTGTTGGGACTTGGGAGTAAGATTTTAAATCTTATTGGATGCTTTACTGGTTGGAAATAAACTCCCTTATAGAAGCTATTAATGATCAAATAAAAAAAGAAAAAAATCATATCATAGGGCCCATGATTGAAGGTTATATTTCCCTTATGCTTGTCTTCTTTTTCATGTTGTCCTTGTCCTTGTCTTTTCCTACAGCTATGCTGTGGCAATCCGAGGTCAGCCAGAGCCTTATCCTTCTCTTACCATCTCTTTCCTTCTATTTGGAGCCGAGAGATAGAGTATGAAGAAATTGTGATTTATGAATCATGAACAGTGAACCCTGAGTTTGAGATTGGATCTATCCCTCTTTAGAATTGAATCAACAGACTTGTATAAAGATCCTTGTCTAGTTTTAGGTTGGTTTGGACCCAAAACATACATAAACATTAGAATGATGGGGTTCATAGCATGTTAGCATGTGACACATTCCCTCATTGACCAGTGTGTGCTGCCATTCCTTCTCGAAAATCACTTGCCCACCTCTTTGTTATCAATAACATCCAAGACTGTCCAATCCTGTTTCTCTGTGGAACCTTTTGTAATTTTTAGGTTTAATGACCCCTAATCAATTTTTAGGATTCATTTTTGAACAAAACAAATCAGCTTTCTCGATATTAGCACTCATGCTTCCCATTTCCATGAAATGGCTCTTTTCCCTTAATCAATTGGATTCACAAGCCAACTTGAAGAAGAAAATATGATATAGAATGAAGTGATATTATTGGTTGTACGATCCAAGGACCTTGATAGGTGGGATTGAATCTTTGGGTCCTTTTATTTTGAATGTATAGGAGAACAGTTGTGATTAAATGTATAGACTGGATAAAAATCTGCTTGACAGGCCACTAGTTGGCCACACAGGATCATTTCAAATTTGGTTGGAATTGATAAAGATCTGGCAGTTCTGGCTAATATGGATGATTCAAAATCACAACTGGACTTGGTTATCGATTCCCCAGTCCAGATTGGATTTGTCGTTCCTGCTACCTCGGGGTCATGGTTCAAAATTTTGATACCAGATCCCAAAACTGATGGTGGCTGGACTGGTATGGGTCTGATTGTTACTGGCGTATTGACACACTGTACTCTGGTGTAACGGTTGACAATGAGAAGGGAAGAGGGGAGGAGGAGAAAGAAAATTGGAGGATGGAGTGGAGGTGGAGAAGGAGAGGAAAAAGTTTCATCTGCATGCTGGTTCAAGCTTGGGGCAATAAGTATCTCAGGGTAAGCACTGGTCCTAGCAAAATTTGAAACCGTGTCTCATGTTTGATAGGTTGCTTTTGTTGTCTACTAATTTGATCAGCTTTGGTTTTGCCAAAATGGAGTAGTTGCACGTTTGTTTGTGGTGTTTGATTCTAATTGTTTGCTTGAGGGTTAACTGTAGAGAGCAAAATTGTAGATTTTCTGTCCTTAATGTATGTATAACTTAATTGATTTGTTTGAAAGATGTGGTCACATGCTGATAATGGGTTTAATCATATCAACTCACTTCTGAATAAAGATTTTGATTCTTTATTTACATTACTATCTTTGGTATCCAACTAGTTTCCTGTGAGGTTGGTGATATTAGAGATTTCCAAAACTACAGGGCGAGGAAACACTGAAATTTTTTTTGCGTAAGCTAATAGATAGCAAATTGCAATTCTGTATTCCTGGCCCATTCACTGTTAACATACTTGTTAATTTATTGGGATAAGTGTACATAAAAGGCACTTATCTTGAGGTGAAAGTGATATTGTAGTTGCAACTTAAAAGATTCGTTCAGCTAATATCTGAGAACATAACTGGAGTAGTGTTTGATCAGTTACGTTTGAGAATGCTAGTACACCAAAGAGTTAGTTCAAGTAATTCTCTCTTGTTGGTTTGATCAATATGCATACTGTGATTTGTCTGTTTTTTTTATCATTTCAGTCTTGCTGGAGTCTATATCTTTGGTTCGCAATTTGCATAGGATTGTACCTCTGTAGGAGTACTCATGTTCTATTGTTTATTCTGGTTATCATTTATTATTGTGGTTTTTGGATAAATTTCTGAGAATGCTATAGAGTTATATAAGCACTACCATATAATTTTTTCACTTGACAGTTGTGATTTGACTCACAGGCAATTGCTAAAGATGCTGTACTTTCAAGGTGTAAGATAATTGCTGAACCATGGGACTGTGGAGGACTTTATCTTGTGGGAAATTTTCCAAATTGGGACCGGTAAAACCTTCATTACTTCCAACAAAATTTGGTTAATGTTGAAACTAAAACCATTGTATATACATGAACAAACATGTTTTCTTTATTTGGAGCTAGTGATTTAAAAAGACGCACAGGCGTTCGGGTGAGATAAGGCGAGACCTAAGTGCCTCACATAGTAGCCGGGCGACATGCTTCAGTGAAGTGTTAGGCACTCACCTAAACCCAGGCGTCGAGCGCCTCGGGCGAGTGCCTGATTGAAGCAAAGCAACTAAACTAGATAATCAACTCTGGTTCGATTGAATAGTAGCTTAGTGGGTTCGATTGAACCAACTAAGCAAAACAATAAAACCCCATTCCCCCACTCTTCGCATGACGCGAACCTATAAACCCTACTTCATCGCCCTGACACACCTCTGTTCCCACCACTGCCTTTGTGCACAACCGCTACCTCCGCCACTAACGCACAAGTCTGACGCTTCCTATACTATTGTTGGACAAGTCCGAAGGTTGACATGCCTTCCTTTGAACCTGTTCCTTCAATAATTCTTGGAGCTTTGTATAGTTTTAACATCAATGGTACCAAATACCTTAAGTTTGGAATCCTTTCTTATTGGTTTTTTATTCTACAAGATAGGCAATTATTGAGAAACAAATTGTGACTGCCTCTGTGCCTCAACTTGAGTAGATTCTGATTCATATTTCTGAAACCTTAAATTTCTCTCTTTCAATAATTAAACTTTTCATATTAAAGATTAATAGATACTAATCTCCATCTCTAGTTGCAGTTTCTAGGATGAACATTGAATTGTGATGCATATTTGTGAATTGTGTGTTATTTTGTGCCATACTATAAAATTCCTAGTTTTAATGATCTGCACAGATGTTGAAAACGTCTTGGGGTATTTATTACATACTTGTACAAAGAATTTTGTCACACAAAAGACATTCTCTTTGTATGATGTGGATTCTGGTGTTGGTGTGAGACAAGTTTCCGAGGGTTGATGATGCGATGGCTGGACCACAAATTAGTTCTATTGTAATCTATATTTTCAAATATGCCTATGTTATGTGAAAACATTTTCCAATATCTGGTTTCCAAGAATGTCTTTTCAAGGATCTCTTTCAACTATGTCTTCCAGGTGGGCCGAATGGAATGGAAAGTACCGTGATGATATTCGAAGATTCATGAAGGTGATATATCTAAATGTAGTCACAGTTATTTCTAAAATTAAAAGTCGATGCATTAGCAAAGTACCTTATCTTATGATGTATGCCAAGTTGTCCATCTTACTAAGGTTTTGTTTTCAAAAAAATTGCTATATTGATGACCAATAGAAAAACATTACTGTTAGGGTCAATAAATCGGATAAAGATTGTCAGATTTGAGTGTCATTGTAATTGGCATGGTGTCTTGTTCATTGTAGTTGGCATGATGTTGGCCTCCATGTCAAATAAGTATTTGTTTGGAACAATATTTTCTATCTATGCAGTTTATGATATAAGTTGTTTATTGCCAGTTTTCAGCAATTAATAATAAGTACTTCATTTAGGCATTTAAAATTGTGTACAAGCAGTCCTTTGTAGGAGGGATATGATTTGCATTTGAAACAATGGCTACATCAATCATTTCTTCTACTTGAGACTATCTTGTCATTGGATATAGTGGTTCTATCCCAGTCCAATAGATTAGTGAAAGTGGTACAGGACTTTTACCCTTGGCTTTCATTATTGTTCAGTAGGTTATCTTTCATGGTACATTTGTTTAGTCTTTGGCATCACCTAAAACCATGGAAACTTCTTAAGTTCTTATAAGTACATTTCTGTTTCTGAAAGCTGTCATGTAATAACTTTTGCCTTGGAAGGATAAAAAAGAATTCCTGATTTCTTTTCACTCAATTTAACATAAATGAAAGCGATAATTTATATTTTTGCTTCCAATCAATAGTGGTGTGTTTGTCTCGCTGTGAATTTTCTCTTAAAATATATCCTTCTGTATTGGTCGATCCAGAAGTAAAAAAATTGTCCTTTTTCTTGTTAAATGTCTGGATATACTTTATTGCAGGGTGATTGTGGTATGAAAGGGACCTTTGCAACTCGTATATCTGGATCTGCTGACCTCTACCAGGTATCTCATATACATGAATGTTCAATTTTACATCATTTCTGTTATGTTTTGCCTATGTATTTCTAGTATGTAGTAGGTACATGCTCGTTTTTGAAGTTTGGTTACAGAAAGGGAGTGTATTTATCAAATCCAACAGTAAAGTTCTGAGTTTTTCATACTGTTTCGAATGAATCTTGAGCCAGTGCATGCTGGAAACCCAGATATGGGGATTCCAAATTGCATCAGCCAAGACTTTAAAACTAAGACAAATAAAGATTTTTTAATTGACCCATGCCTTTCTTGCTCCAAGTTTTGTTAAATATCAAATGACTTATAGAACTTCTATCTTCTGTGGCTTAGAGCTTTGAACAAGAATATCGATTTGTCACTACTCTACACTGGAGAAGATACTAGAGAAAAGAGGTTGCGGAAAGTGTGAACACAAGATGCAGGAAGTAGGAAAAATGAAGAAGTCATAATACCTTTTGAGGGCTGAATCATCATGTTACTTCTCGGTCTTGGAGATAAGACTGGTGGCAAATTGAAAAGGTTGAGGTGATTGATTTGGCCTTTTTACTGGAAAAGTGGCTTGGGATTTCTGAGCTACTGAATCTTAAATGATTGGCCAAATCATTATAACCTTTAGTTGATCTAATATTGCAAAGGAAGATTACATAAACTGTAAATTCATTTAATTTATTTTAGATCGATGCAGGAAATAAAGCATCATAACTTTATTATGCAAGATTGAATAGCATAGGGTGACAACATTGCAACTCAAAGATCAATATTTGAAATTATCATTGCTTTACAGTTTAAAATTGTTTTCCATTTCACCTCGGTAGCAAGTTGGGTTTACAGAAGTATGCCACTTTATAATTAAATAGTTCACATGCTTACCTTCTAGTAGTTACTTCAGATTATAAACCCTAATTATCATATGTTCATTGACATTTAGGACAGAATCCTCGAGTTCAGTTTAACTCCTAAAGAAGGCATCTTCTTGTGTTTTTGAAAAGAAAAAAAAAGTACAATGCTTCATTTATTCTCTGTAGTTGGCAGTGATCATTTGATTGTTTCTCATATAAACTTGTCTAATAGGTGAACAAGCGCAAACCCTACCACAGTATCAATTTTGTGATAGCACATGATGGGTTTACACTGTGTGATCTTGTTTCTTACAATTTCAAGGTAATCAAAGCAAATACTATAAAGTTAATTCAAATACTTTGGAATGTAGAATCCCGACAATTAATGTTTCTTGTTACTTGTTGGGCATATAGCATAATGATGCTAACGGGGAAGGTGGCAAAGATGGAAGCAATGACAATTTTAGCTGGAATTGTGGTGTTGAAGGTAAATGTTACATCCCATACTTCTATAAATCATTAAATCTTAAATTAAAAATAATTTCTTTTAGCTAGGAGAACCAGGACATGCTGAAGTTCAAGTTTAGCTGATGTTTTTTTGTTTTCTCTTGAGAAAATTATTTTGTAGATCAATGATGCCATTTAAGTACTGCTCTTGTTATCAATCTGGTCTTCTATATCTACTATGTACAATGTAAAAGATATAGATGGTGTCTTCATGTCTTATTTCTGATGCTAGTGCAACTAACAATCATGTTTATTTGCCATAAACTTGGTTTTTTTTTCTTTCATCTTTTAGTTAATTATGTTAGGTATATAGAATTAGTTTTCATGATGCATGCTATCCTCTAATGAAGTTCTTTTGAGGTTTTAGGAGTATTTTGAAAGCTAAGGATTTGTAGGTAGGACAAAAAGGAATATTCTGTATGTTACTTTCTTTTAACATTATACAAGGAAATCACTTCTTAAAAAGTATATTTATAGAGAAGTTATGACAAACTAATGGCAAAAAAACCAATAAATACTGCAACTGAGGGTGAGATAAATTTGAAAGGTCATAAGTATATATTCATGCAGCCATAATGACTGTTAATTCAAGTTGGGTATAAAATGTTAAGAACAAAGTGATGTAACTTGTTATAAAAACACAATAAGATCCAGATAGAAGAGCAGTAGAAAGAGAAATGGTTGTATAAAGAAGAAAAAATACATGGTTACCATAAGAGTTCATATATTTTTTTATATCCAATTCTTGATAAAATACCCTGTGTACAAGGTTCTGCCAGTGCAGGTTTACGGGGATCAATATAGTGTTCAATTTAGGTTATTTTTATGAGGATATTCATATAATTTGGCATTTAGATGGAGATTGTTTCAATATTTTAGGTTAAATGTGCAAAGATTAATACAGATTGTTTCAATGTTTTAGGTTTCCTTGTTCAAAGTTTGCCGGCAGCAATCGGGATTTTCCTTTCTACCTTTTTCCTATGTCAAAGTTTGATTGATACAGATTTTAAACTTTCTGTTCCATTTACCTTTGTTTATAACCTTCAAATTTGGAAAGGAAATTTTGTTGCACCTTTTGAATGTGGTACTACCATACTTAGATATAAGATTCATGTATGCATCTATGTAATAAATCGGTCAATTTAATTTTCTTTCTTTTTCTAGGAGAAACGGATGATGTTGATATTATAGGTCTTCGCTCACGGCAAATGAAGAACTTCCATTTGGCCTTAATGATCTCTCAGGTACCATTTTTCTAAATACCTTTTAGGATAAGGACCTAATATAAAGTTTATAATTTCTCTAAACATTATTGTTTTTCACATAATTATTAACTTGATTTTTCTTCTGCATAATGGGTTCAACATGTTATTCACCATATTAATAGGAAATTATTTGTTTTAATTTCATAATTCTCATATTAATATTTAATACCAGTTTCTCATTTTAATTTAATAATACAAAATGTTGACTTCTATTTTATTTTAAAATCCTTTTATTCAAAAGAGAACTTAATAACCCAACCCCCTCTATGTTTCTGTCTCTCTATGTGGTTCTCATCATGTGTTCACCACAACCCGCCCACCGTGGAGCTGCCTGCCACAGCCACATCTTCCTCTTCCTCTTTGCCACCACCCTTGGCTCCTCTCTTCTGATCCTTCTCCTCTCCCTTGTACCATGGAAATTACCAACGTACCATGTGTTGGTACAATAGCATTAACCAGACCTGTTCCAGTTCAGTCATGGATCAGCATGGATCTGGTACCCAATATGTGGAACCTTGGTCCAAATTGTATTGGATGGGACAGAGAGACTCTTTATTTGATCCTGGACAACAGGTATGATGGAAGAGTTCCCTTTCTAGACCACACAACATTTGACTCTGAACCATGGAAGGCATTTTCATGTTTTAGAGGTAAGAGCATCCTAGATGCCGTTCAAGTTGCAGCACTACTTTTTATGAGACAAAGTGACAAACCTTCTCCACTCATTAAGGTCATATCCGTAAGTCACTTATTCCTCAGCTATCTGTTGTACTGATGTGAACCTGGAGTGGATTGAGATGACAGGAAGGAGAGCAAAAGTATATAAAGTAATAGGTGATCCCATGGTTGAATTTGATCATGCCAGCAAAAATTGAACCCACGGGTGAGTCATTAACTCAAGTTGTCTGAATGGAGTAATAGAAATATTTTTCCTGGGAATTTACCAAATGGAAACTCAGAGTAATACTGAATGCCTAAAAGGTCCAACTGTGAGATGAAGAGAAAAGGCTGAAGGCATTCTTTTCCAGATTGAACTCCACTTGGTCTCTTCGAATATCATTTCCATTCTTAGTAAAATGGTTGTCTTCACCTTAATAAATTAATGACAGAAAGAAGAAATTTTGTTTTGCCTAGATGTAAGTCATACATCATATTTGAAAATAAGAAATAGATTCAAGCTTCCTTTAGGAGACTACTGGACTCTTTATAGGTATGACAAGAAATGGGTTTTGAGAAATATTTTGTTTGGCCAACTCTACTGGATTGATACTTTGAACCATCAGTTTCCTCCTACTGTAAGAAATTCTGAGTCTCAGTATTCTGTAGCTTCTGGCATTTGTCATTGTAGAGAACCATTTGTGTTATCCTGTATCACCTCATACTTCCTTTTACATGCTATTCCTGATTTAGTTTTCTCTTTAGATTGCTTTAGCATATGAATATGAACAAAATGGACATTCATCTGTGCTTGCAAATGCTAATCTTTGTCCAGGGAACACCAATGATGCTAATGGGGGATGAATATGGCCATACACGTTATGGAAACAATAATAGCTATGGACATGACACTTCCATAAACCATTTTCAGTGGAAACAGGTACCAGGCTTTTTTTAATTTTTGACAATGATAAGTTGCTTGTTGCTAGCACTGGTTCTATTTTCCTCTGCCTTATCTGTTTTTCTTTTGTTTTTTCTCTTTTCGTGTTGTGATAGTTGGAAGAAAGAAGGGGCGGTCATTTTAGATTTTTCTGTGAGATGATTAAATTTCGCTGCAAGCATCCCATGTTGCGACAAGACAGATTTCTTACCAAAGTAAATCTCCTAAACTATCTACATTTCATGCTTCTGGTAAATCAGATATTTGAAGCTATTTTTCATGATTGATTTAGAATATATGTGAATATAGAAAAGCATTTTATGTTCTTAACTGGTAAGTATTTCTACATAATATCTATTTTGTGAGAACTAGTGGAGTATAACACTCTAGTGGGTATGCCTTCATGATGTTTAACTAAAGATCTTGTCTTTGCAACATGAATTTTTATAAATAAATTTACAACATTTCTCTTTACTGCAAAATGCAACTTTGCACAATCCTTTATCTATATATATTCGGGGATCTTATAGATCCAACTATATAAACTCAGAAGAATAACTAATTATTGGTATCTACTTGAAAAGAATTGCTAAGTTTGACCCTACCTACAGAAACTATTCAATTTCACTGGACTTTTACCTTTGAAGAGAAAATAATTGGGCCTTATGGCAGCAGCTTAACTTCTTCAACAATTGGGATCTAAGTGAACCTAAACTTATTGAAGTTCCTTGAACTTTGCGATGTTAAACAATTGGCCTTATGGCAGCAGCAACTTAACTCTGAGGATGAGGTCTACTTATTAAAGAATGTGTGGCTGTGAGGGATGTTTACAGCTGGCTTGGGCTACACGTCCTCTGCAACTGTTTGCCTACATGTGTGGACATGGCACTAAATTTTGTTTGTTTTCTCATCATTTTCTATGATAAACTTAGGGTTGTCCTCATTGGTTCCATTAATAAGTGATGAAGTTATCTTGTCACCTGAAGCAACTATGGAATTATATGAACTGACAAAATGAACATCTGTTTTGCAGAATGATGTTGCATGGCATGAAGACAACTGGAGCAACCAGGAGAGCAAATTCTTAGCATTTACGTAAGAAAAGGATATCTCCCATTTATATGAAATTATACTCATTATGTTATCATTTTCTTGCTAATGACAATTATTTAAAGGCCTTTTTCAGCTTGTCTATATACACTTAGAGACTAGCAAAAGTCAAAAGCTTATCCTAATTTTCTGTCAGCTTCTCATAAGAATCTTTAATCATAGGCTTCATGATGATCAGTTTGGAGGGGACATCTATTTGGCTTTTAATGCTCATGATTATTATGTCAAAGCTGCAGTACCTTCACCACCACATAAGAAGAGATGGCACCGAGTGGTATGAATTCTTCCATTATTTTCTAATTTCCTTGGAGTTAATAATTGACTAGTTGATAGCACAAACTTTTCCATGACTCATTCCATGTAATTAGCAGCTGCATATGGCATCTTCTAGCATTGCATTTTGATGCAGACTTGAGCTGCAAATATTATATAACATTTTAATCGGCTCCTCATCTCCTAGTATGCAGAGCAAAAATATTCATGCTACAACCATAATTTTAACTCTCTTACTTGAGAAAATTGGAATAAAGTTGAGAGATTCTTGTTTTTTTTTTTCTTATTGAACTTAGTTTTTAAGAAAGCTTAGAACACACCATGTACTGTATGAACATGATGAAAGATATGCTCCATTTTTCATGTCCTCTTATGATCAATTCTTATGTATCCATTCATGAATTGCACTCCATACGTGCTTGCTTGTTTATGCTAATAACGCTAAATGTGATTCTCTGTTGTTTGTATGCAAGTCTCTTTTGAGTGCATTCTTGTTAAACGAACTTTACTGGTAATGCTATTGCTGGAACTCAGCATCCTTATGTTGATTTGGTCTAGTTGAGCAAAGGCAGATACTCTAACCTAGAGAGTTTTTAGATTCTAAATTGAAGCATGTGAAACTTTACCAAGTTGAACACTAATGCCCAAATTATGGTTGTGAATTATTCATATTTAGTACTGATGATTTTTTTTGTCAATATTGCAGGTTGACACAAATCTGGAATCTCCCAAAGATTTTGTTCCCGAAGGTGTACCATTCAGCAACACCAGCTACAATGTCGCTTCATATTCTGCAGTTCTCCTTGAGGCAAAGCCATGATCCTGTGACATTTGTTCTCCAGAATCATGATCAATAAAGGACTCCCACTGTTTGACAAATTCCTGCCTAAGGGTTAGTCAGTCCATCTGCTGACATTATATAGGAGGTCAGAGAGGGAGACGAAGGAGAATTAAAAAGGAGAGAGGCAGGGGGTTGGATTGAAGGGAATTATCTGCTATAACTATCCCATAAATAAATTTTAGAAAATTGACACATAATAAGAAATAATGTTCTGAACTTTTGCCCTTTCTCTTATTTAGAGTCAGGTGTTTAATCTTCTTCTCACATGTTCTGCAAGTTTTGTCAGAGTTCTGCAAGTTCTTGTCGATCTTTCCGTGAAATGGTCAAGTCATTGTCGCATGTCATTAGTAAATCTGTGCTGTAACTCAACAAGCATCAGTTTTAGACGAATCTAAGCTTAATCTCTACAAGCATACAGCACAGAGCAGAGGTTGCTTTGACCAGTGCTGAGTATAATCAGCAAATTGAAGCTACCTCTCCAGTCTTGAGATCTTCCGCTTGTCTGATGATGCTATTTAGGTCTGTGATATCGGCGATCTGAGACTATGGACTTGGTTGACTCTATTCTCTTCATTCTCAACTGAAAGTTAATTCATAGAATAACTAACACTTTTATATTTTTGTCTTTACGGTGTCAATAATATCTGTAAAATACCAAAATTCGAAATGGCTCTATTCACGGAATCAATTCATATTTGAGGATCACAGAGCCTCTATGTTTGGTGATACTGTGTGTTTTATTCTCTTCCATGTTTCTCCTGAGGTTTGAGGATGAAGCAGGCATTTATTTTGTGCCCTGAGAAAGAACTGCGCCCATCATATTCTCCATCCATTAGTTGTTCGTTGTTTCGACCCCACTAATAATTCCAGCACATCTCAGTGGATGGAGAACATCTTTAGGGTTGTAAGCATCACTTTCAGGAAGCACATTCTCCAGCAGTCCCAAGTGAAGAAGATAAGACACCCAAGCAAGCATATTTCCATGTGCACTTCACCTCCCTCTTTCCTCACCGAAACCCTCGAGTCATTTGAGTATGACACCCTGAAACAACAGGAGAACAAGTTGATCCATGATTGCCCTAACACCCAAAAAATAAGAAGAAGGATTAATCTGTCGTCTGTCATAATAAACTGTCACCAAGAGTTGCACTGTGAGTATTGGAGAATCTTCTTGGCAATTGGGGGATGCCCAAAGAAGAATATGGTTTACGTAAACGTGCAGAAGTTTCATGCTGGTGTCTCTCCATGGAGGGGGGCAGGGTTCCCTGATCACGTCCGTCGAATGCATCACATCAGGCATTGCGAGATTTATAGATAGAGATCGCTGTCCCTTACGTCTCTCTCTCTCTCTCTCTTTGTTTGGCTTTCCGCCTTTATATACACCGTCTCTCCCCGGTTGTCCAATCGCTACGCACTCTCTACGCTCCAACTCTACCTCTACCTGACAGTCGCGGCCGCCATGAAGTCCTCCGGCGCCCGCCTCCGCCTGCTCGTGGCGGCTCTGACCCTGCTCTTTGTGGCCTCCACCGCTCAAGCGCCTGGCCCAGCTCCCGTCAAGCCCCCCACCGTAGCTCCTACCCCCGCTCCCACTGTCGCGCCCCCGACCCCGGCTCCCGCTCCCGGCCCCGCACCGTCCCCCAGCGTCCCTGTCCCCGCACCGTCGGCCCCGGTGCCGTCCCCCAACGTCCCTGTCCCCGCCCCCGTGGCCCCGGCGCCGTCGCCTAAGGCGCCCACCCCGGCACCAGAGGCGCCCGAGGCACCCGCCTCCTCCCCTCCCGCTCCCGCTCCCCCTCCAGCCAGCCAGACGCCGACCGAGGCGCCGAGCCCGCCGTCCACCAGCGGGGTCGCTGGGCTCTGCTCGGCGGCCTGGGTCTCCGCCGCTGTGGCCGTCGCCACCGTTGCGTATGCGTTCTAAGGCCTGGGTCTCCGCCGCTGTGGCCGTCACCCTCGGCCGTGGCTTCCTCACCTATTTCTCCGTCTCTCTCTATTTAGATTCCTCGTGTTAATTTGTGGCCATTCTTGTTTTCTTTATGGCTTTTATGGTTCTCCTTCTGCATGCTTTTCTTGAATTCTTCTTCTTCTTCTTCTTCGTCTTCTTTAGGCAACTTTGTAAGAGTGGCTTCCAATTAACCAGTGGGTGTTTGTCGGCATAGCATTGCTGTGGTGAATTATTTTGTTATAGTTCTCATGATTGGGCTTTGTGAAACGAGAGAGAGACAGTGAGAGAGAGAGAGATCCCACTCGCTCAACAGCTGTAAGGCAGTGGAGGGAGGCGCGGCCATCTGCTCGTGGCCTCCCGGTTGCACCTAGTGATCTCGCTTCACGTGTGTGTGGGCTCGTCCACCTACCGCCACCTAACACACGATTTAGTTGGCCGGTAAGACAGAGGATCTTTGGTTGGGTTGGTAGATTGCAGCCAGCAAAGAGAGGCTCTGCGAGGGGAGAGACAGATGAGACGTGGTAGAGGGAGAAAATACCTCCAAAGAGAAATTTGAAAGATCAAACAGGTAAAAATATATATATTAATATTTTGACATTAGATTTAGATGATTCGACTCCTTGTCTATGTTTACTCAAAAATAATTTTTTACTATACGAAAAAACAAAATATAAAAAATATCTCTCTTCAATTTTTTTTCTCAATCTTTTTTAGATTAATACGTAAACTACACCCAAAATATCTTTCTCTATATCTCTCTCCAAATCCTCAAATAGTTTAAATTTAATTATTACTTCTAGAATATTTATCGATCCTAACAATAAAAAAGTTTTTTTTATCTATATATATATAATTATTATGATCAATTTTTTCAAAATGATGTAAGAATGATATTCACATTCGTAGCATATAATAATGTTTGTGAAAATATTAATGTTGAGCTGATCAAAATAAGTCGTTTGAGTGTTTTTTTTTTAAATGTTTACTCATTACAAGTTCTAATAAGATTTAAAGTACTTAAAATAAATTAATAATTCAATTATGGAAAGATTTATAGCGAACTAGAATTTGTTTACGATATAATTATTTTTTATATAATAAAAATCTTATTTTCTCTATAATGATCCTAAATAGTTAGGACTTATGATTTTAATAATATTATTATTATTGTTATATCTGTAATCATTAGTAAATATTATTTTAATTTATTAAATTATTAATATTTAAAATTTCTCCCTTGTTTTCACAATCTTTGATGTCTAACACACCACCAACATTCCCCGTCTTCTCCCAGCAAACATTCCAATGAAACTTCACCGTAGTCATAGTGCAGGACAAATGTACAGCTTCCTGTCTCAACGAACATTCCAAGGAGACTTACTTGGACACCACTCATACTGCATCGTATCCATACTCGTCTGTTCTCACCGAAGTTAGTGCATTGCTTTCTTTTGTTTATCTTGTTTTTTATATATTTTTAAAAATTATATTAAAAATTTATAGGTAAAATATTTAATTTCATTTCTCCTCACACCGTCAACTCTAATGATGAAAATATCATATATGCTTAGTGATAAACCAAAATGAAGCAAAATCTGATCAATGATAAATCCTTAACAAAGTCGTAACATGACATGAAGAAAAATAAATTAAATGTTTCACTTTCATAAATATAAATATGAGAATCTTAATATAAATTTTAAAAATATAGAGATCGACGTACTAAAAATAACTAATTATAATGAATAATTTATAATTAGTCCATCGTTAGGTATAGGTTTTTAATAGGTTATTCTCCTAATGCAATGGGAAGAGAGCATAAGAAGGGCTTAACATTACTCTGTTCAACCAAACAAGAGAATGCTACCGTATCTCCGACACCCACATGTCAATAGTATTTCTTTATTATCTTCATTTCGTTCGTAGAACTCACGATAAGGCATCGCTCATAGGTTTTGAATCATATTTATCCACGTACATAAATTAACAATAAAAACATGGATTTTAGATACCATATTCTCAATTTCATTTGTAAGGATTATTTTAGATATTATTGAGAGTCGGTAAACCTAATTTTTACCACTCACCAACCAAACATTGATTTGACATGAAAAAAAACAGCATTATACATTTGGTCGATTTAACTCGTTAACTTTGAACCACCAGCATAAACTATTCGAGTCAAAGTTAACCTCTCACATTTTCATTTTGTGGTTCCATTTAGAGCATTGCATATCCTATATAATGTAGAGACTATTCGAACCATTATTATATTGTATTTTATTAGTTCAATTCTGATATATGAATTCACTATTCAACTGAACCGATTTCATATACATATATATATACATATATAATCCTTTGTTTGTGATGTATATAATTAGAAGACATTGATCAGGGAGTGCATTGTCATACAATTGTCTTTGTTAAGAATTGTTGGATCAATGGAGAAATTGCCAATCTACTGCTTTCCGGATAGTAAAAGAGAAATGTTATCAGGTGAAAATGGAATTGTAGGTGACCAATTCTATAAATAAAGGAATTCCAAGTACATTATGAGGGCACATTATTCTTCACTATTGTATGAATGGATGAGACGGCTGAAGGCAAATCACATATAGATATGATAAAATAAATGCTTCTTCTTTGTTCCTTTTTGATTGCTGTGAGTCAAGTAAATTCAACTCTCTTGTGAAATAACAAGGAAAAGGAGTGGACTAATCCAATCAGAAAAATAAAGATGACTTCAGAGAGAGAGAGAGAGAAAGAGACCTTAGTTGTCTCTAAAGGTTTGCTGCACTCATTCTCCCACACTAATAAGCAATAATATGTACACACAGAGAGAGAGAGAGAGAGAGAGAGATCAGGAGACAGGTGTGGTGGAGAAGGTCATAATACACCCAAACCCAGTAGGAGATCTGCACCAACTACTTCAAATTGTTGCTTTCAGCTATGTGGCTACCCTGTGTACTATGTCAAGGGGACTTTCTCTTTTCTTGGAGTAGGTAATTTGTTGGGCAGTCATGTCCACTGTTTGTCCCTACAAGGAGATGGGGAGAGAGAGAGAGAGAGAGAGAAGCATGAAGAGAAAAAGGGGATTTTTTTCCGTTGATAATGTTATCCTACCAAAGAGAGAGAGAGAGAGAGAGAGAGAGAGAGAGAGAGGGAGAGATGAAGAGAAAAAGGATATTTTTTTCCGTTGATAATGTTATCCTACCAACCCTGCCAGCCTTTTTATGCATTCTTTTCTGATCATAATTCAAATCAATTGCATATATTTCTTCCCTTTTATTCTGCTGAAATAGTACATCAGTCGTTACTTAATAATATGGCAACATGTTATTTTTAGGTGCATCTGCACTTCTCATGCAAATGTCTTCCTTGCACTTGTCTTACTTCTCAGCACTTGAAGCAATGTATCACTTGTTGCAGAGATGATAGTGATTTAGCAAGTCCTGCACCAATTTGAGGTTCATAGTATGATGTTGATCCTCTCTCTCTCTCTCTCTCTCTCTCTCTCTGTCCAACAATTATGCTGTATGAGGTCATGTGCAATATAATATCAGAAAGCTGTGTACATCAATTATGATGTCTGATCCATCAACTCCGACTGCCATCTTCTTAACTCGGTTCAATTGGCTTCTTCCCCACATAGATCAAATCAAGACTCATTTTATTTCCTGATCTCTTCCTCACAATCGAATCAATAAAGAGAACATGGCAACCATGCACCGGGATGGAACAACTCGACACACTCAAATCAAGCTGAACAAAGACGATACAGCCGTAAGGAAGCTCCGAAGTAGATGGATGATGATCTACCACCTAACACAGAAGAAATGGAGAAACAGGAGCAAGAGCACTGTCTCTACCCTGGCCAACCCTAAAGGAGCACCAGCTCGAGCGCCAGCAGCCCGGTTAGCATTGCCACGGAAGCCGAGGAGACGTATCCGGCGCTGGACTGCTTGTCGGCCGCCGTGGTGGTGGGGGTGGTGGTGGAGGGCGTGGTGCTTACGGAGGGCGTGGTGCTTGCGGAGGGCGGGGTGGCGGTGGCTGCGGTGGGAGGCTTGGTTGAGCCGGACGGGGGGGTGGCGGGCGAGATGGCGGGGGACGCCGCCTTGACGGGGACCGCGATCTTCATCCCGTTGCTGCAGTGGCTGGCGACGCCGCAGATGAAGTAGTAGGTGCCGGCCTTGGAGAGCTTCACCGTCGTCTGCCCGCTGCCGTCGGTGCTGAGGGCGTTGCTGGCGGAGCAGGAGCTGTAGTCGGTGGCGCTCACCTGGTCCACCGTGTGCACTCCGGCACCATAGTTGAACGCTGCAATGGCCATGACGTATATTAATATCGAGACCTCGTGAAACGCGTTAATTACATGACGACAATGACTCGATACGTTCATAAGCTCTAACACACATATCCACAGCTATATCTTACTGAGGCTGTCGCCGGCGACGAAGGTTTTTCCGGAGGTCCACTTAGTGTAGTCAACCCCGTTGGCCCAACCAGTGGAGCCTCCGACGGTGTGGTCGGTGGCGAACGCCGTCCACATCGTGCAGCAGAGGAGGAGGAGGAGGAGGACGCCGATGGCTGAGGAAGTGCACCCGGCCATTTCTATGAAACGAGGTGAGCTGCACACACCGGAAGAGAGGAGGGGTTGCTTTATATAGCCCGACGTGGTTTGGTTGGAGTTAGTAGGAGCGTTCCGTCCTCTGCGCTTTGAGACAGTAACGGGTGGGAATAGCTTAGGGAATACTCCATGTAGACATCTCCATGGGTGGGTGACCGCATCTGATCTACTTAGCTTTTTCTTCGTCCCCTCCCCCCTTTTGGTTTCATCACCCGCAATGATGATGACACAGCTCGTCAATGGGCCTTCAACAGCTAGCATCAAGCTTTTGTGTTCCTCGCCATATGAGTTGAGCTAATTAAGCGGATTATATACTGCTATTCCGGAGGAAAAGAAGTAAATAATTGAAATGTTTGGGGAAATAAAAGGAGTCAAGAAAGTACATATGAAGCATTAAGAACAGAGGAGACCCCAATTCGCAGCGGCCATCTTGGTGCTCTTAAAATGGTGACATGAACAGCACGAACAACAAGTGCTAAAAGAAAACTATGCTCTACAAATCGAAGATTTTTCGGTGAGAGTTGTGTTCTTCTTTGCATCGTTTAGTTTGGATCAATGTCAGATGAACTTTAGCAGGTGTTGCTTTTGGTTGTGTAAGAGGATATCCCAATCATCCTCAGCGCTTACAAAAGAGTCCAACATTGTGCGGACCCGAGAATAAGTACATTGAGATGATGAGAATAGTAACCACCAAATGCACAGCAAAAATCTTATTTGTGACTTCCGCTTCACATTCTGAATGATACATAAGGAAACTTCTTGGACACAGCATTTCTACTTCATGTGTGATCAAGTGTTCCAATCAATCCCCTCCATTTCTAAGTCCATGGAAAGAATACTTGCCTCTCAAGACACTTGTGATGCCCCACTTCCATTTTTCTTTGTCTAGCTTTCATGTTTCCTGTCTCTAAAGCTAAGCAGAAGCTTGGTGGTCAAGTCTGCACCACCACCTGCTACCCCTTCTTCCCTTCACCCAGCTCTGTATCCGAAGTCAAATTGCTACAAGTTGATTTGTCTTGTTCTTCCTCTTTCACAGAGTTCATGATTGCCTTGTTATCTTTCTTTTGAATCTCTTCTGATACATGGAACTGCCGCAATCATGATCAGTTCCCTTCCGCTTCGATCCAAGTCATGCAAAAGAAAGGGGAGAGGAGAAATCTGCTCTGTTCTAAACGAGGTACAGAGTGGAGCGAACATGTCGTTCATGAACGACTCTGCACCGTATCTTCTTCTATCGACTGGTTTCAAATGTACAGGCATCGTCCTGAATCAGTCTAATTCTGCACCAAACGGTGCGAGTCATCGATCAGAACATGCATCGTCCTAATGCAAAGCCCACCCCGACAATGCCCAGGGACAAGGCCAGGGTGCACCACCACGTCATGGCGGCGGCCGGGTCGGAGCCTTCGTCTCCGAGCTCCTCCCCCTGCGCCGGCCGCAATATCCTCTTCTGCAACACCGACATCTCGGCCTCCAGCAGCTCCACCCACCGCCTATAAGCAGACAGCCTGAGCGAGTCGGCCAGGAGCAGCCCGACCAGGTCCTGGTTCCTGCTGCGCTCCTGCGACGCCCTCTTCTCCGCCTCCCTCGCCCGGGTCTGCGACAGCCGCAGAGCTCTCAACAAGCTCGGGTTCTCGTCGCCATCCCACCGATCGACCTCGCTGCCAGCAACACAGCATCCTTCGGACCGAACACCAGAGGACCGGACAGCTTTCTTGTCATCTTGTTCGACGGGGGAGAAGAGTTTGAGGGGAGGGGGAAGATCGCAGTTCTGGAGGAGGTCACCGGCGCACAGGGAGGAGCGCTTCGAGAGGTCGACGCCGAGCAACATCTCCCTCTCGTGGTGGCCGTCACGCTGCCAATCCAAGAACCATTTCTTGGTTGGCGAATGAGGGATCGGCTTCACCTCCTCCATGGGGATAGAAGAGAAGAGGAAGAAGATGCTGCGATATCTTCCTTCCTTCCTTTCTTCTCGGGGAGTGTGAGGGAGGAAAGGTCGCGATGGGGAGGGTTTGGTGGGTAGGAAGAAGCGTGCGGACAAAGGAGATCTCATTCTTCGAAGAGAAGGATACTGCGGTAGGTTTTGTTGGTTGATGAAAGATTCTCAAAGTGGCGTGCAGTTTGCTGTGTCGCCTAACTAACACGCGGCATTCACTGTTATTCCAAAACAATTATAGACAGTAATATATGTTAAATATTAATCCGATAACAAAATTCAATAATTTATCTGATTAATGTTTTCTTCTTCACCATATTTCTGTCTTATGAAAGAAATATTATTAAGGAGGATTATTTCGACTGACACAAAGATTAAATACTATTGATTTAGAAGTAATGTTTTTTACATGAAAATTCTATTTGACATGATTAGCATTACAAAGCATCTTTAACATGTTAATAATGTAGTTATCTTGAAGCTATGCTTTTTTTGCTTAGAGAAAGCTACACGCCACAGTATATTGCTTTTGTCAACTCTTTTAAGGTTGAGTCTACATATAAAATTCATCATGGGATATGGAGATCTATTCTCTGGATTTTGGGATATTAAAGAGCTATTTATTATCCGAATTCTAGGAATTTGGTCAATTCGATTTGGTCATAAGATGATGAGGTAGGAATTAATTAGAGGTACAGTGTGGCATATATCTTCTTTTTTAGATTGGAATTCATAGAATAGAGGAGTAGTAGGTGAGCAGGGAAGACAGCTTGAAGAGATCAAATTTACATACTTGCATCCAACAACTGCTATCTGCCGAATGCAAGAAGAATTTTTCATGTGGAAGGATTGTTTATTCGATGAATGACTGAGAATAGTCAAACGATGCCATGTCAAGCTGACTAAATTTTATTTTGGACAATAAGATACAATTCGTAAAAATATTAAGATATTCAATAAAACATGAGATTTGAAGAGAATTAATATATATATATATATATATATATATATATATATATATATATATATATATATATATATAAAGAACATATTTGTGTCGATAATTAAATCGAGGAACACATCTATTATAGTAAAAGTGATCTCATACCTATTGAGGACAATTCCAAGCATAATAACTCATTAAAGATACCTATGATTGATCCCTACCAATAATAGACTTCATAATATTTGCATCAGGCATCTACTATAAACGAGGAGTTATGCAGGTAAACTTGAGATAATATAATATTCAATACTCGTCTAACTTGTCTAACTTAGTACTAATTTGAACATCAGAGGACCATTATCGGGATTGCCCCCGACTTAATTTTATAGGAATCCGACTGGTGTGAAGAATTTCTTAAAGACCGACTCGAAAAAGAACTAAATTAAAACTTGACCCCGAGGACCCATCCAAAATCATCTCTAACAACATCTAATAACATAAATATAGGCAAGTTGGGTGGGAGGGCAACTTGATTTTTGTCCTATTTTGACTCATACTCAATCTTCTCCTTGTGAACCCTTTTTTAATATCATCAACTTTAGTTTCTTGGGTCAATCAATCCTCAGGCCTCTGGATCCGATCAGTTCATGCCATTGTTTTCAGTACAAGGCAAGTAGGAAGCGGATGGTCTTCACAATGAAGTCCTGAACCTGTTTCTAAAACTTCAATCATACTTCAACAAGTAGTTATTGGCAGTTCTGACAAACTTGGCTTATCACAAAAAAAATTTAAAACAAGCATGGAAGTTGAAGAAAGTTTTAGAATGTTATCCATCCATAACTCAGTTTCCTTCAGTATCTGCAGACAGCCTATAAATTAAATCTGTAAAGCCTAATGAGATAACTTTGATATTTGGCTTCTCTGACAAAAACAAGCATGGAAGTTTTAGAATGTTATCTATCCATGACAAAATCAGAGGTTTCCTTCGTTTATCTCAGTCAGTCTAACTGCAAATATAACCTATAAATGAAATCTTGAGACAACTTCATTATTTGACTTTTATCTGACTTCAAAGTATCATTCTTCAAGTTATAATTTGATCATTTTTTATGGAAACAGCAATGCTTATAAAGGCTTAAGAGTCAGGCTCCAGCATCATAAGTATCTCAGGAATACAGCTGGTTAATGTAAGAATTCAATCATCTGAAAAATGCAAATCATCAACTGAATTTTTGCGTACCTTTCTTAGACTTGACATCGTTCATGCTTTAACACCCTCCACTTCTCACTATGGTTTTGGTGCATTCATCAATGAGCTTATGGTGCAGTTCCAGGTCATGATTCTTTCAGCCAAGCTTTCAAGTCATTGAAGAAAGACCAAACCATTGAAACCCATAGATGCTAGCTCATGAACAGGTCGAGTGAGATCAAGTCAAACATCTAAAGCAGTACACAACCCACCAAGGTAGCTTCAAGGTCTTCTTTGATATCTACAACATCAATCTTCTGTTATGGAGAAATGTTGCTCAAGTATGCGTGAATTTCAAAAGGAGTAAGGTGCTGATAGCATGCGTTCTACAAACCAATAATTTACCAACTGCGCTTTCAGTCTCGTGGCAAACACTTTTTTACCCGCTCTTTTAGGTGTCAGAGGTTAAGATGTAACTTGCTATATAGATAATAGCCTATATGCCACACTCATCTTAATGTTAATTCCCATGCCATTTTAATGTCCCTATCGTTATGATAGTTTCAGCGAAAGGTTATTATTTCCATATGTTTAACAGCCGCTCAGTCACATGAAAGTCTACATTTCATTGAAAATCTTATAATAAAGGCAAGTAATTATTATCGATATAAATTTAAATAGCTCCACCAACTAGGTTTGAAGAAAAATTGATCCAGCTATTATGGATTGATTCTCACATAAGATCTTACTAGAACCTCAGTGATATGGAATATGATACACAAACGAAATAAATTCACAAAAAACTGTAGTCAAGAAAATAAATACTGAACCAAAAGAGAAATATATATTAATGCAAAAAACATAAATATATATAATGTCACTTTTACATGCCTCAATTTTCTTCAGCCACGTCTCATCTGGCTCTGGTTGCTCTCAGCTAGCATCTACCTCATCTGATATCTCATCTGATTGCTCATAGGTATCCACCTTGTTTTCAGCATCAACTGCTTGATCCTTACCCAACACCAAACGAATGCGTCTTCCCATCAACTTCTGCAGTGGTTAGCAAGGTGTTAACTGGATGATAAAATAGAAGACTTATAAATAAACAGTAAATGGTAGACGGTTTGCTATATATGAATTGTTGTGCCATTTGGCACATGCCATGCCGAAAATGTAATTGCATTAACTGAGCTAGTCTGTACTGTCGCATCAACATGCACAGCCATGCCAGAAAGGAATCTGTGTGCATCTGTCATAAAAGGAAATCTCACAATAGACTAGAGACATAAACCTAAATTTACATTTCCATTCAGAGTGGTTATTGCAGCTTCTGCTTCTTCTTTTGATGCGAACGAGACAAATCCATAGCCTGCTGATCTTCTTGGATTGCTTTGGAAGATGACTTCAGCAGATAGGATGTTCCCACTGCCACTAAATAATTCTCGAAGATCCCGAGATCTTACCCTCCAAGTTAAATTGCCCACAAACACATTATACTTTGGAACAGGACCTGCTGCCACAACAGGAGCCTTCTTCACAGATCTTGCAAATTCCACCTTGATCACACGGCCATCTAAATCCTAAATCACCAACAGAACTCATGATTAAGCACCCACCACAGTGATAGAGGCCTGATGCTCTGACCATAAATATAAGATGAACGATAGCACCATTGTTCCCTGAGAACTACTTACATATGAATTCAGATGACTAAGTGCTGCTAGTGCTTCCTCCTCCGAGGCCATTGTTACGAATGCCAATCCTCTATTTCTGCTGCTGTTATACATCGACAGCTGGACCAAGAAGCAAGGTCTAAGTGAAAATAATTTGGTGCTGGTGAAATAAGCCAAAATATCTTAAAAGAAATTGTAAAAGGGTCAGAGAAAACAGATTGCAGGATACTCATCAAGGTCTACCAAGATTTTGACATGTGCATAAAGAAGGACACCCCGTTTCAAGTAACTTCCTAAATAGATGCTAGTTCTACCAATATCGAAATCCTAATGGTTGCCACCATTAGCACAAGAACTTGCACTAGTTATGTCATGATGGGTGAACAATATCAAGGCATCTATTAAATAAACAAAAGTTAAAGAGAAATAATCCTAGATAAGGAATTATACCAGTGGACTAGAGTTCTTTTTGTTGTTTTACATGCTTTATGATATAATTGGCATTGCCAATCATTCAGCTCTAGTATTGGGATAAATCAGTTTGGTTGTAAATACATCAATGATGTCCATATTTATAACTAGTTGTAAATACATCAATCAATGTTGTAAATAAATCAATTTGGTTCTTTTTGTAACCAGTGATAGTGAAATTAGTAAATTCCGACTTCATGGCATCATAATTATCATCCTTCAAGCTCTTTAGTTTTGCTTATACTCAGATAATTAAAAAAAAATCATTTTTTTCACTTATAATATACTCATAAATCATGAGCAGACATTAATATCTCATCAAGCACAAAGTCGGAAGCATTTAAAAGAAATGATACAGAAAATCCCGCTTAGAACTTAAAATGGTATGATACAAATGAACTCGCGCTCAAAGATTCGATCTTTTCCCTAGGCATAGAGCAGGAGAATCCGAACCTCAACGTCGACGACATTGCCGTGCTTCGAGAACAGAGTTCTGATGTCATCGGGCGTGCAGGTCCAAGGTACGTTTTGGGCGATCAGCCTCGTTCGAGCCGCCCCCGAGCTCTCCGCCGTTTCCACTGGTGCTGCCGGAGCGCTGCTGCTGAGAGCGGCAAAAGCAGATATCTCTCGACGGAGGAGGAGGAGGAGAACTCCACTCGCCCTTCTAGGAGAACATGTCACGCGGGAAGGAGAGGGCAGAGACAAGAATGAAGGGGAGGAGGCAGAGAGGTGAGGGTTGTGAGAGGAAGGGAGTCGGAGAAGGGGAAGCGCCATGACCGCAGAACAGAGGACACAAGAAAAGATCTCAATCCGTGGAGCGCCCCTGGATAAATAACTGCCGGCTCAGCTGTCTGGGCATGCGCACGGTCCAGCTTGGCTCACAGCTATTGTCTACGCGGCTATTTGCGGACCTGACGCGTGTCGCCTATAGGTGGTCCGATTCCTTACTGCTGGTATTCGAAGAACAGAGAACATTTCTTAATCCAAAAATGATCGGGCTAAAAGTCGAAAAACTACAAGTACAAACCAAAACGTGATGATGGAAGACTTCTCGGCAAACAATATCCAACAATGGGGCGCTTCAGTTACCAGGATCTTACTTCTATGTAATCCCATGAACAGTTGTTTAAAGGACGGGGAAGAGATGGCTTGCATCAGCAAATCTAAAAGCACAAACTCTGGAATCATAATCTGTTCGTGCTGCTTCCTGTAAGAAAGAAGATGCCAGTTTAATCTGAAGATGTAAGAAGTAGAGAAAGAACATCTACTTTGTAATCTTGCGTGTTTAAGTTTTCTTGTGTCTCTTCTTTTTCCATTTTGTTGTTTCCTTTTCTGCTTTGCTTTCTTCCTTTCTTTAATTCCTTCATGTAACACTTTATTCATGTTAGATACTGATTCTTCAACAAAGAAAGAGTGCTACCTCTGGCTTCATTCTTCTCAGGCATTATGTGGGTAGTCTAGGAGTGATATGCATGTACATTATGGACATTTGAGTATCATCTGGATAGGTTGTGGTGTTTCTCAAACAGAGATGGAAGGTGACAGTGATTCTACAACATCAAGAACATAACCTGGAAAGATTTCTGGTGTGTGTACATTAAAGTTAATGCTCTTGAATTGACCAGCCACAAGCCTTTCTTTCTTTTTCTGTAGGGAAAGCTGGTCACTTGATTTAAGGAAATCATGTCTTAGCTTTCAGACAATGACTTGTCCATAGTCAACACTGTAGATTCTTCTTTATAGTGTAGCTTGCAGGAAGTGTCCGGTTAAATCCATATAATTCTTTAGGTAATAGCTTGCAAGTGGACATTGTTGCCAGATATTTCAGATAACTGATGTGAAGTTGCAGGAACTGCAAGAATTCCAATAATTTGATTCTGTCCTTGTAGATGCTGAATGCATTGCTTGGGACTTCAAGAACTCCTCCATCAACCATATAAAAGACTCAGAAGATAATTCTTTTAGAAGACATTAGATGCTGAAAAGAATTCAGCAACCTCTGTCTATGCAAGGAGGACCAATGCATGAACCAAAGGAGGTCATGCAAAGTTGGGTTGAGTTGAATACTTGCAATCCACTTTCAACAATGAACTAACTACACTCTCATAAAACAAATTGATGCTCCTTGCACATGTTTCAACGCTCAGTAACCTGCAATTATGCTTGACATTCTGATCCATACACTGTTGTTTTCTTGGACTACATGTTTCTTGTTTAAGCTGCTTCTTTTGTCATTTACAAGGACACATGGGGCATGAGCTCCTTCAATCATCTTGCATTGTATTGTGGGAGAGGACAATGAGCATTCCTTAAAATGTGCATGTAAACAGGATTGAGAAAGACTTTTAGCCACAGTGTTATACCCAACTCAGTGTTCATCAACAGCCTCCATGCTTGTCTCAGAGAAGTAGCACAAAAAGCAATCGCATCCTTCAACAGCTTATGTTGTCTTCTAACCTCGCAACTTTTAAGTCTTTTCTTGAGAAGGAAGAGAAACAAAGGGATTCAAACAGGATTACAAGATAAACAGGAGAAAAAAATGAACTTAGATCTTCATTTTTCTTGACATAGTGATCATATATGTTCAAAGCACATCAAGTACCTAAAACATCACTTCTAAAGCTGCTTCATTTAAAGGCCTCCTTTAAGAGAATTAAACAAAATGATTCATTCCTATGTAAATTGAGTTTAAAGTGTGAAACTGTAAAGATGCAGATGGAACATCTGAATCTTTTCGATGAACGACAAGAAGAAAGAAGACATTATGGTAAGTCATGAACTGAGCTCTTACACAACCAGAAGCCATTGCATACTATCTAACATCTCTTGGAGCGATGATGGAGTCTCTCTCACTCTGAAGCCAATTCAATAAGCAGCAAACAGAAATCTAAAAGAACATACAGAACGCTATAGGCACTGACATTATTGTCACTGAAGTGTTCTGATAGAAGCGGATTAGTGGTGAGCAGTCTCCTCCTCCTCGATCCTTGCAATTATTTGGTGGACTGCAGTGGCGATCACATCCACTGATGCACACTGGCAATCGTCTTCTACCTTCACCAGCAAAAGCAGAGGAAGAAAACAACTCCTCGTGAGTCATGGCATCGAGAGAAGGGATTGGAATCAAGAGGGTGGTGGCTCATCTTACCTTGAGACTGAAACAGTAGAGAACCATTTCGTCGACGGTGGTCACGTTGAGGTGAAGCGTCGTCAGCCGCAGGTTCTGCAGGCCCAGCACCAGCATCAGCAGCTGCCTGGGTCGCCACCTCGAGAAGATCTTGACGTTGGCATGGCTCTCGACGATGGTGACCTCGATGTCAGCCATGGCCGACGGGTTCCTGCGCGCCGCTTCGACGGTGGCGGTAGTGTCGGTGCTAGAAGTGCTAGTGCAGTGCGAGGAGCTGGATGAGTACTGGGGGAAGGTGAAGAAGTCAGCGAAAGGAGCCGCCTTTGATCGTTCCCTGATGCGCTTCTGAGCCTCGAGGGATTGGACTGACTGCTCAAGCTCTTTGACGAAATTTATGGCACCTCCAACGATCGATGCTTGATCACCCTGCCAAGGAAGAGATGAACTGTTTGGGGTTTCTTCATCGATCAAAGATTATTGAACTGGTTTTAGGCCATATATGTGCAAACATGTGGGGGAAGATGGTGCAATTTTTTTGCTGCATGACGATTACAATCTTGATGAGATGATGAGAAAAAGTGGCTGTTAATAGTGGAAGAGATTAGGAGAAGAGATGTCTCGGATGAGATGGAATCAATTTCTGGAAGGTGTGGAAGACGAACTTTTTGGACGTAGGAGGCGGGCATGAGTGACCGGAGCACGGCGAGGTACTCATTCATCAGTCTCCGCCGGTTGCGCTCCACCGCAATGTGAGTCATCCTCTGGGTCTCCACCTCTTCCTTGTTCTTGAACCGCTTCGTGCGCCGCCTCTTCCTCCGGTCCGCCGTCCCTTCCTGGCAAACGGCAGCTGATCCGGTCTTCGGCGACCACGAATCCACATCCCAGTCATCGAAGTTTTGCAGCATGGAGGAGCAACAGGTGTCCCAGCTGCTGCCGCTACCGCGCTTCCCTGTTGCCACCTCCCTCCCTCGGTTCAGCTTCCTGCGACCGTCGCCGCCACCACCTATCTCGCATCCCATGTTGCACAGCTCCTTCGTTGTAAAACCGAGTGCTTCGGCCAGTGCCATTTCTCTTCGATCAATCACCTATCTATGGACAAAGCACACAAAGATCAAGCTTGCCTTTTCCGTTGGGGAAGAGGAAGAAGCCGAATGGAGGAGACTTATATTAGGAATAGGAAGGATGTTATTTAAAAAAATAAATCAGAATATTCTAATTCTTTTAATATTTCGATAATATATCATCATAATTTTAAATTATAGAAATTATAATAATATATAATCATGATTCTATCAAATAATAAGGATTATAATTTTAGAGAGATATTTTTATATTTTATTATTTATTAAAAAAAATTATATAATTATTATATTTTATATTTTATTATAAAATATAATTATAATTTTATATTTTATAATTAGATCTTACTAGTGAGTATAAATTCATACTTACTATTAAAAAAAATTCAAACTAGTCATCTTATTCAAACTTATAGGTTGCTTGAAGTTTTTTCTTCTCCACTCCTTGCTAATATCTCTTGTAGCCATAAATTATACTTCTTAGTATAATCAATTTTATTCTTTTCAAATTGATTATCATCTTATGGGTTATATAGATTATATCGTCACTTGCCCTTCATAAATAGAAAGAACAATCTTGAAATTATTAATGCTAAACATACTTTTTGGATCCGTCAAGATCATCTTCTTAGAAATACAATCATTACCTCTCACTATCTCTCTCCTCCTATCATTCCCTGTATAGTCTTTACAAAATTCTCTCATGTGATCCAAGTTTATAATAATATATATCAACTAATCGCATGGTTATCTCGTACAACTTTTAGAAATCCTCTTTAAGTTTTCTAACTATATGTAGACTATCAGAACTCAAGCAAATGCACTTGCTATGGCTGATGCATCTTTTAACGATAAAAAGATCAATTTTCATGTATTAAATGATCTTAATTTAAATTACAAGGAGATTTTGATTGTAATTCATATACGGGATAGTCCTATATCTTTTTCAAGAACTTCATGTTAAGCTTTCTAACTATAAAACTTATTTTAAGCGAGAGTCACAACATTCTAATATCTTTTCTATCATTATCAATTTTACTAATAAAGTTAATTCTAGTAATAAAGATAATATCCACAACTAGATAATCATCCAAACAATTATTCTAAAGTAACATGCAACAAGCCTATAACAAAATTATCAACTTATCTAAGAAATAATTCAACAACAAAGTCATTTATTAAATATATGACATGCAATGTCATGTTATATTATCGTTTATAAGTTAATATTTTATGGATGTTTTAGCTTTCATTACTCACCTTACACCACCTAGTTGGTTTCATTATCATAGCCACATGCTCACTTTGTTGCTTAATCTTTTTAACTTTCATTAAACTAACTTATTGATTCCGAGACTTATCATCATGTCATATTTTACTTGAATAATCTATCTCTTCACTCAGATTACGATGATAAGATAATATTATGATAGATAATAATAAAAGTCTTAAGATAACTTAGATTAGTTTTATAAAAAAATTTCTCAAAATTATTTTTAATTTCTAATGTTCTTTATATTCCTAAAATGAAAAATAACCAAATATATGTCTTTAAATTAACTTCTAATAATATTTGTATTGAATTCTTACCAACTTTATTTGTTGTGAAGGATCTAAATACAAAGATATATCTTGTGGAGAAGCTGAATATAGAGTTTATAAGTGGTCAACTATTACACTATTTTCATCAAAATTTATCTTTATTTTGGCTATTATCAAGGCTCCATTTCAAATATGGCATAATCACCTAAATTACATGCTTAAATTCCTTGCCTTTTTAATTTTGGTCTCATGTATTTATTATATCAACTTATCTTATTAATTACATACCCACTCTAGTTCTTAATATGGTTTCATCATTTAAAAAATTATTTTAGATCTAGTCATAACTATAATAAATTATATGTTTTTAGATGTTATCTATTTTTAAAATGTTATACCCATAATAAACTGAAAGTCTAATCAAAATCATATATTTTTTTTTGTAGATATTCTACTAATCAAAGTGACCTTAGATGTTTTCATCCATCGATCAAAAGAATTTTGTAGATATTCTACGTAGACTAACTTCCATTAACTTTATTGATTGGATCCCCAAAATTCATGAGCCACCTCATATTATCATTCTCGTTCAGATTAAAATATTAATCTTACCCATCAATCTAAATATTTTATCCACTCAAAACTTATTAGGTCTTTCCTCAATGATACATGATTGACAACATGTTATCTTTCAATAGTACATAATTGACACTATATTATCTTGTCCATCCAACTATTTAGTTTCAGTATCTCCTATTTTAAATTCTTCTTATTCAACATATTTTGGAGATGTCATTGACCCTACACTAATTTATTCATTGATTACTAAATCTAAAAATCAAGTCTTTAAATCAAATAAATATTTTTTATAAAATAATCTTAAAAATTTATTTTTGAACCTTCTACTATCAACTAAGCCTTGTAAACTCCCGAATAAATAGCAACAATGTTTGAAGATTATAATGCTTTATTACATAAGATTAAGCCCTATCCTATTCAAGTCAAAATCTTGTTGGTGCAAATGAGATTTTTATTAATAAAATCCTAATTTATCCATTAATAAATATAAAATAAAATATATTACAAAGAGATTTTATCAATGCCCAAACCTTGAGTGCCATAACACCTTTAGCCTAGTTGTGAAACTAATAATAATTTATATTATTTTATATCTTATCTTATCAAACAATTGAAGACTTTGATGGTTGGACATGAATAATGTACTTCTTCATTGTTATATTTCTAATGTATTTATACAATAACTTTCAAAATATCTGTATGCTATGCAAAGCTTTTTATGGTCTCAATTAGGTCCCTTATATTTGGTATCATGAACTTCGAATATATCTTAGCATCGATTAAATTTTATAATTTTAATCTTATTATTCATTATTCATTTATTCTAATGAGGATATAACTATGTTTCTACTAGTTTGTATGAATGACTTAATTTAATTATTTATTCAATAGATTAAAAATAAGTTTTTTATAAAAAATCTTGGATCCGTAGTTATTTTTTTTATGTTCAAGTTATGCAAAGAGCAAATAGTCTTTTTTTGTTTTCTCAACATAAACATATTTTGATCTTCTACCAAAATGCTTGAAGATAAGTCAACAATATTTGACATTTACTCATTTGGATATTACATATGTAGTTAACAAGTTATCTCATTTTATGCATAAACCTATTTCTAATCATTAAATAAACGTTAAATATCTTCTTCGGTGCTTACAAGACACTATTAATTATGCCTTATTTCTTTAAAATGACTTTCTCTATTACTTTATGCATTTTCATATGTTGATTCAACAAATAGTAAGGATGAGATGACTTTCTTAATCACAATTCAAATTGCTTTGAATTTTAAGAAACAACACTTTATTTCAAGATCTTTTAAGGAGGCCAAATATCGAGTAATTACTTCTATAATTATTAAAATTTAATAAATTTAATTATTACTTCATAGACTATTTATCACATTCTTTAATCCTTCATCTATATATTATGATAATATCATGATAACATATATATTTGCTAATCTTTATTTGTGACAAAATTCAAAATGATAAGTTAAGTGTCTCTTATGTTTTATTTTCTAATGAATTTAGAGACGCTCTTATTAAGCTTTTGTCTCATCAGTAATTTCTAAAATTTTAATCCAAGATCGATATATCCAATTGAAATACTATTTTGTGAGAGTATACTAAGTAGGATATTATTGAAAAAATTAAATAAGGATTAGATTATCCTCTCAATATTTTGATAATATATCATTATGTTTCTAAATTATAAAGATTATGATAATATATTATTATGATTCTATCGAATAACGAGATCATGATCTCAACATTATATCCTCTCTTATGAAATGATTTAGATAGATATTTTATATTTTAATTAAAAATATATAATTATTATATTTTTATAGTAATTTTTATGTATAAATTCGTACATATTATTAATAAAAACAATTAAGATTCTTATTTCTTTCATCTTAAAGGCCTCGGGAAGGCAACGCAACAAAGGACAAGGTGGTCGTATAAGGCCGACGTCATATAAGGCCAAGGGAGTGAAAGGAGACAAGCAACAAGTAACATTGGTGGTGAAATGGGCTACAGCATGTGCTCTTGTATTGCGGATACGCACAGAAGCCGACACACACGAAAAGGAGATGGCAATGGGAGCTCAGATGCTCTCTGCATGGCCTGAGGACGAGAGTTGGGAGTGAGAAAGGGCGCATGTGACCACCGCGACAAGCTGTGTCATGGCCACAGGGACGCTCCCTTCCGATTCCTCTGCAAACATCTGCCGTGGATGCCAAGATGATTTCTCCTAGCTTGCTGCTCTCACCGTATTGCTCCGACACCAACGCATCATATCTGCTGTTGCATCGTCTCTCACTTGTTCTACGTCGCTTGGAAGTCTGGATAAGGAAGGGGGGGAGGGGAATCAAATGCTTGATTCGGAGCTTGCTGCATTCTGTTCATGTGGGTGGCCATGGCCAGAGAGCCCCCGAAAATGACACACCCATTCTTTGAGGCTTCCCATGGTTGCAGGTCAAAAAACAAAAAAAGAGAAGTGTTTGCATTGGACTGACAGCGGCTTGTTCTGGGATCATTTTGATATGCCTGATCACATACATCTGTGTGTGTTGCCTACAAGAAATAATGATTCCTTGGTCATAAGATCATCTGACAACTTTGAGGACACACCAAAACAAGAGGTTGGCAGCTGTGGCAGTGATTTGTACTGACTGCTCTAGCAGCTGTGGGTGCTGCTGGTTGGGATAGATTCCCAAGTGAAGTACCTGAGTGCTGTTTTGGTATAATTCTTCTGGGGAAGGAGAACATGCTGTCTCATCATTTCTTTCCGACACTTGTGAATTTGATCGCAGGCACAAGAGAAAAGGATACAGAAACATTTGTGTTCTTGTATTGTCTCTAAAACATGTTAAAACAGAGCAGAATTTATATTGAGCATCCCATGAAATCTTTACGGA